ATGCATTTTACATAATGCCAGCATGCATTTTATGCATGGTGTCCATGGATAAGATGCATGTCGGCATTATGTAAAATGTGTACACTAACACACATGTCATGCATGTGGTCCACACATAACACACATGTCATGCATGTGGTCCCCACATAACACACATGTTAGGTGTGTGGTCTGCATGCAACATGCATATTTCATGTGTGGCCAAGGCACACCATGCATTCTTCATGTACTTCCAACTCATACTGCAAATGTGACCTGAATAGCATGCATGCTACGCATTTTATCCATACTACGCGTTATCGTTGCATCCCCTGAGTGTTGCCTGAAATGGGATTTGATCCAGCGACCTGTCTGTGAAGTGCTTCGGCCCCATGTTGATGCCGTCTTCGGTGGGGGGATTTAGGGAGGATTTTCAAACGAGTGACAGGCGCTAGCCAGATTCGAACTCGCAATCCTCTGCTACCATGTTGGAACAAGGACCATCCGACCAAAAGTGCCTAGACAACTTTTGGTGGGGTAGGTTGGGTTGCCAGTGACCCTCAACAGAGCCCTGCGTGCAACATCTTGTAGCCCGTAATCTAATTGGTCTGGATAATTGTTTGCAGGCCTCTAGCTATCCAGGCAAGCGAGAAAACTGATTCACTTTGTTTTCAAAAGTGATTTTTACGCTTTGAGTTGTGAATCCAACAGCGCACTGTTGAGCTCTGAGCTGGACGCCATCTTGTAGCCCGTGGTCTGATTGGTCTGGATATTAATTTTCGGGCCTCTAGCTATAAAGGCAAGCGAGATAACAAATCCGCTTTGTTGTCGGAAGTGATTTTAAGCGATTAGTTGTAAGGCAATTAGTTGTCCGGAGAGCGCGCTGTGGAGCCCTGAGGTGTGCGCCATCTTGTAGCCCGTGGTCTAGTTTGTTAGGACTTTTATTTTCAGGCCTCTAGCTATCAAGGCAAGCGAGGAAACTGATCCGCTTTGCGTGGTGGACAGCTTCTGAGCGGCGAGGTGTGAGGCGAACAGCGCGCTGTGGAGCCCTGAGGTGTGCGCCATCTTGTAGCCCGTGGTCTAGTTGGTCTGGATATTTATTTTCAGGCCTCTAGCTTTCAAGGCAAGCCAGAAAACTGATCCCCTTTGTGTGGTGCATGTTCGTCTGGCAAAAAATCTAAGTCCAAAACTCCGCCCCACGGGGAGTACGGCGTTTGCGGCCCACACAATATTATTTTTTTTGTATTTGTATTTGTATTTATTTTATTTTTGTCGACACCCGCTCCGGCCAAGCAAGGTTGCTTACCCCTAGTCATCCATCTTGCGCCGCTTGGTGTTCTGGGCGGAGGAGCCTTGTGATTGGTGGTCCCCTGGTGTGGGCCGTGCTCTCTTTGGCGCGGAGGCTGTGGTGCTGTTGCCCTTTTTCCCCCCCACCTTGCGGCCACGGGAGGCTTGCGTGTCTGCCTGTGGCGGAAACAAAAACTTAAGCCTCTGTCTGAGCGCACTGGCCCACGTTGGGGGGGCTTGTGGAGCGTACCTTTTCAAGCATCTTTATGAGGGTGTCACAGCGCCGGCCAAGTTCCTGCGGCGTGCGGGACTTGAGGAACCAGTCGAAGCGGAATTGCCAGGAGCGACGAATTTCCTGTTTCAGCCGATCCCAGTTGCCGTAGCCGATTTGGTGGGTCGTGCACAGGATGAACTGGTCTTCCTCCTGCGTGTAGATTCTGCCCTTGCCACTCGTGTAGGTAAGGTCCAGCTGCCACCACGCGTTGGTGCAAGACTCCACTGCCGAGGCCAACATGGCCGCCATCTCCTCACGACGGCGCAGCTGCAGCGTGCAAAGAGAGGGGAGGGGTAGAGTAGTGAGTATATTCACTCTGCACCACCAGACCCATGTGGGAGGTGGATACCTTGGCTTCGCCCTTCTCGATGTTGGCCAGAAGCCGGGGCCAGTCTTGTGCGAGAGCGGTGTCGGCAGTTTGCCACAAGGCCTTCGAGTAGTTCTCCACTTCCTCTCGGCTCTTGGAATCCTTGAGAGCTGCGGCGATGCTGTCGAGGTCCCACCTCCCGTATCGCTACAGGCCCGTTCACCAGCGTGCCCGGCAGGCAATTCACACACACACACACACACACCCGACACCCGTAAGGAGCAGAAGGGCAAGGGCGAGGGCGATTGGGGGTAGGTAGGTAGGTAGGTAGGTAGGAGGGGTAGTGCACCTCGCAGGCCTTGACAAACGCATTGAAGTCCCGACGATTCCAGCTGCCGAATCCCTCGGCGAGCAAGGCGTCCTTTTCCGCCTCCTCCTCCTTGGTGAGCTCCCCAAAGTCGGGCTGTGCCTCTTGTTGCTCCTGCTGCTCCTGCTCGGCATCGTCGGCCAGCGCTGGCTCGGCTCTGGCCTTGGCCGTTTGCCATTCCACCTTGGCCTGCGTGTGTCGTATGTGTCGTGTGTGTCGTGTGCGTCGTGTGCGTCGTGTGTGTCGTGGAGAAGAAAGGCAACGGGCTGCGTGAGGGGAAGTGGAGTGGAGTGTGCTGTCAGGATGGAGCGGGTACTGCGTAGGCCACTGCCTCCTTGTGTAGAAGCTCGTGCAGGCGTGCAGGAAACAGCTGGAAATCGTGCAGCACGGGCTGCTTGAGGGCTCTCGGAGCGGCAGGTGCTTTCTTGTTGTTGGCTCCTTTGTCGGGCCGCATGACTCCGCGATAGTACCCATCGACGGAATAGTCCTTGGCCACCTTGCGCGTGCGCGAGGGAGGCTTCATCCAGCTCTGCTTCTTCCTCCCTCCTCGCGCCTCCGCAGAGTAGTCGACGCCCTGATGTATGGAAACGGTGTGACACACGAGCACGCACGCACGCACGCAGAGGATAGCGCAGCCGCCTTCATGGTAAGCCCTGGGCGGGTGGGCGGGTGGGCTGGTTCAAGAGAAGAGGGGCGGGCGCGCACCTGGAATTGGTAGAGGGAGGCCTGCTGCTGCGGATTGGTGTTGCCGAGGGAGAAGTCGAGCAGGGTGTTGGCGCTTGACTGGAACTTCTCGTTGAGCTCCTCGGTGCGCTGCGCGCCGCGGGAGATGATGAGGTCGATGTCCTCGTCGGTGATGGTGCTGTCGCCCGACTTGAAGATCTCGTCGGCGCCGAACCGGATCATGGAGAGGAGCTCGTCTTCACCCAGGGCCTTGTTCTTTTCCGCGAGACGCCCCTTCTGGATGACAACCGCGTCCAGGTGCAGCTTGGCCTGCGGGACGCCGATGCCGTGCGCGTGCGCGTGGGTGTAATGTTAGGGGGGGGGCAACCCTGTCGTCCCATCGTAGTTGTATCGGTGGCGGTGGCGGTGGCGGCGGCGGCGGCCACATAAATAGGGGGTGGGTGGGTGGGTGGGGTCATCATCATACCTCGGCTCGCTCGATGACCTTCTCTTCGATGGAGCCGTCGGTGACGAAGCGGAAGACGGTGACGGGCTTGGTCTGGCCGATGCGGTGGGCGCGGTCCTGAGCCTGGAGGTCGACCTGCGGGTTCCAGTCTGAGTCGTAGAGGACGACGGTGTCGGCGGTGGCGAGGTTGATGCCGAGGCCGCCGGCGCGGGTGGAGAGGAGGAAGACGAAGAGGGGCGAGTCGGGGGCGTTGAAGTCGTCGATGGCGCTCTCGCGGTCGAGGGCGTGGCTGCTGCCGTCGATGCGGCGGTACTCGTAGCCGCGGAGGAGCAGGTAGTCCTCGAGGATGTCGAGGAGGCGGGTCATCTGCGAGAAGATGAGGACGCGCGAGCCCTGCGCGCGGAGCTTGGGGAGGAGCTTGTCGAGCACCACGAGCTTGCCCGCGTTGGTCACCAGGTGCTCGCCCTCCTCGTAGGGCGGACCCGGCTCGGCGCCCTCGAACAGGTACGGGTGGTTGCAGGCCTTGCGCAGCTGCATGACCAGGTTGAGCAGCCGCATGCGCCCGGCCTTGCCCTTGACCACCCCGTTCACGGCCTCGAGGTCGCGCGTGAGGATCCGCAGGTACCACTCCCGCTGCATCTTGGACATGCCCACGAACAGCTTGATCTCCTTCTTCGCCGGCAGATTACGCTCCACCTCGGCCTTGAGCCGCCGCAGCAGGAACGGCCGCAGCACCATGTGCAGCTTGCCCACGATCTCGTCCGCCCCCACCGCCGTCGCCTCCCCCTCCTCCTCCCCCTCCTCTTTCTCCTCCTCTTTCTCCTCCTCCTCCTTCTCGGCCTCCTCAGCCTCCGCCTTCTCGGCCTCTCGCTGCCTCGACTGCTGCTGTTGGTGGTGGTGGCTTGTCCGGGTGGGTTGGTGGTGGTGGTGGTGCTGGTCGAGGTTGAACCAGCTGTCAAAGTCCTCGGAGGAGCTGAAGACCTCGGGCAGGAGGAAGTTGAGGAGGGCCCACAGCTCGTCAAGGTTGTTCTGGAGCGGGGTGCCGGTGAGCAGGAGGCGGTACTGGCTCTTGTAGATGCGCACCACCTGGGAGAGGATCGAGTTCTCGTTCTTGATGCGGTGGGCCTCGTCGATGACGATGTACCGCCAGCTGAACTTGCCCAGGGCGGCCTTTTCCTTGACGGCCATCTCGTAGGTGGTCACCAGCACCTCGAACGCGCCCGGCAGCAGATGCTGCACGCGCAGCTCCGCTCTCTCCTCCTTGTTGCCGTGGAACTTGAGGACCTTCAGCGAGGGACACCACTTGCGGAATTCATTCATCCAGTTGGAGAGCGTCGTCTTGGGCACGATCACCATGTGCGGCCCGCCCAGGCCTCGCTCGTGCTTGAGGTACCCCAGCAGCGTGATGCTCTGCAGCGTTTTGCCCAGCCCCTGCACCCCCGATCGCTCCGGATGAGAGACAGAGACAGACCAGACACGAAGCAAACCACCGCACCGCACACAACCACCGCAGCCCACTCGCCTCGGCGAGAACAGAAGAAGAAGAAGAAGAAGACCCCCTCCCTGCCGAGTAACAAAGCGAGCAATAATAAATGGGGATCGCTCACCATTTCATCAGCCAGAATGCCGTTGATGCCGTTGTGATAGAGGTTCACCAGCCAGTTGACCCCTTCCACCTGATAGTCTCGCAACGTGCCACCTTCAATCCCTACAAGTAGTGGCAACACACGACACACACGACACACCCTTGAGTCGATAGGTTGCGTGGAAGAAAGGGGGGAAGACTTACATGAAGGTGAGCTGGAGATCCACCTGGCTACGTTCTCTTCTTCATCCTGCTCAAGTTCATCGTGCAAGATCTCCTCGTCCTCTTCTTGCTCCGTAATCCTGCCTCGTTTCTTGCCTCTTTTTTCCTTCCCTTTCCTTCCCTCCCTGCGCATTTGTTCAGACATTTAAGATGTTAAGCAGCTTCCTCACGCGTAATTCATTGCCAGCTGGTGCCAACGCACGTGGCGCCCTTGGCGGAGGTGCCGCTCTTGATGAAGTGGGTGAAGATCTCAGTCTGCTGAAGAAGATACTTAAGACGGTCGGACTTGGCCTGCCCCTGTTGGAAACATGCAACTCAGCATAATTTCAAATCCCCCCTCCAGTCAAGTAAACGAGACCTCTTGGGCTTCCACGATTTGGTTCTGTTGGCTTCGAGCTTCTTGGAGAGCGTCCTTTTGCTGCTTGCGCAGATCACGCAGACGCTCCTTGTCTCTCTTCCGCACTTCCTCCAGCTTCTCTCTCCTGCTCGCTTCTTCCTCTTCTTCGGTCGGAGGGTTGGCTGTGCTCTCCCCGTTGTGGCTGACTTCAGCCTCTACCTCCATCATTTCTCTCGGGTTCTCCATCTTCGTTTGCCCTTGGCGCCAAATCGGAGTGTTAGGCACAACAACTGTTTCCTTTTCCTTTTCCTTTTGTTTTCTTGGTTCAACTGTACATTTTTCGTTGGGGGTCAAGGGTGGATGGTGTCCCACATGGATACAAAAGGGGAGGAGAAGAAGCCAATGATGGCCTCCAGGAAGTCCTCGCCCTCGTTGGAGACGTCGTGGGTGCGGACGTGGTCGCGCCTGCCCCGCATCATGTCCACAAAGTTGTGGAGGTTGTGGTAGCGCTCCGGCTCACGGGCGCTGGTGAGCGGGGAGCACAACGTTGTTGTTGTTGGGGAGGAGCTACTGTCCGTGTACGTGTCGGCAGCATCGCAGCCCGAGTCCTCCTCCTCCTCCTCCTCCTCCTCCTGGCCCTCGCAGTCCGAGGCCAAACGGTAGTGGTCGTTCTCCGTGCTCCGGCCTCCGTAACGATCGCCGCCGAGCATCTGTCGGGCCTGCTGGGTGGTGAGCAGGAGGCGAGCAGCAGCAGCAGCAGAAGCGGCAGCGTCGCTGGTCCAAAGGGAAGGAGGGGGGGGGCGCACGCCAGATACCGACGGTGACGGCGATGGGGCACTGAAGAAGCGAGGCGAATGCGAGGGTGAGGCGGCCGGCGACGACCGGGTGGGTCGGAGGCCACGCGGCGAACGCTCTGACTCTGCCCCGGGAGAGAAGGACCCTCGCGGAGGAGCCAAAGACGAGGTGCTGCACCGAGAGGCGGAACCGGGCGGCAGGGGCGGCGGCGACGACGACGAACAGGACAACGACGACGACGAGGCAGCGGAAGACGTGCGTGAATGAGGCCGTCCTCGCAGATCCCGCACAGGCAGGCTGAGTGGCGGCACCCCGCGCCGCTGCTGGTGCTGTGGCTGTGGCTGAGGCCGTGGTGGTGGCTCACCCTGCTCCTCGTAACCGCCACCGCTGCCGCGGCGGCGGTTGCGAGGAGTATACGGCCGGCTGCTGTCGTGGCTCGCGGCGCCAGCGTGTCGTGTCGTGCCCTTGCCCTCTTCGCCAGTCTCCTCAGACTCAGAGGCGGTCTCCTCCTCACTGTCGCTGGTATCGTCACCATCGCCATCATCATCACCACCACCATCATCACCATCATCATCCCGATTGTCGTCATCGTCGTCGTCGTGGCGGGAGGAGGAGGAGGAGCAGGAGGAGGAGGTGCGCCGGGGCCAACGAGCAGCAGCGAGCTGGCGGCCCGTGCTTTCGGGCCACCGGTGGAGCGCCGCTTCCCCTCGATCGTCGTCCCCTGACTCGCCCGTTTCTTCTGAAACGTCAGAGTCCGTCTCGTCTGTGTCGGTCTCTCCCTCGCCGCCGCCGCCGCCGCCGCCGCCGCCGTTGCCGCGGTAGTGGTGGTCATGGTGGTGGTGGCCGGGGTAGCGTGTGTCCAGCGACCCAGTCCGCAGTGCAGCCCCTGACCGATACTCCTGGTGCTGCTGCTGCTGGTGGTGTTGCTGGTGCTGGTGCTGCTTCGCCCGCTCTCTCCCTCCGCCCGACAAGAGGAGGGGCTGGTGGAGATGATGGTGGTGCGGGTGGTGGTCGATTGCGACTTGCGGCGGGGCCTCCGCCTGGACCTGAACGCCCCCCGGGAGGGCATGCTGCTGGTGCTGCTGCTGCTGCTGCTGGTGGTGGTGGTGGTGGTGGTGCTGGTGGTGGAGGTGGTGGTGGCGCCGGTGGCGAGGAGAGGACAGGGGCAGCACCCCGGCGCGGGGCTTGGGCGCAGCGCTTCGGTCTTTGGCCTTCGCGGCGGCGGCTCTCCTCACGGCTCCCGGGCGGGACGAGTCGTCGTGTCGGAGCAGCTTCTTCCTCCACTCCTCTTCGCCTTGCCACTGCTCCTCCTGGTCTTCCTCCCACTGCTCCTCCCGCTCCTCCTCCTCGTCGTCCTCGTTACCGCCTTTGTTGGTCTCGCCGCCCTCGCGATGAGGCCACGGGGAGGGCAGTGAGGGGGATGCTGATAATGCCGACGCCGACAACGACGACGACGACAGTGATGATGCCGGTGGCGGTGGTGATGATCGCGATGGAGCAGGCCGGTACTTTCGACCTCTTTCCTCCACTCGCGGGTGTCGGGTGTCAAAGCCACTCTCGGCTCGTCCTCGCTCCTGCTGCTGCTGCTCCTGCTGCTGCTGCTGCAGGCGGTGACGGTGGTCGTCGTCGTGGTCGTCGTCGTGGTGGCGGGGGTGGTTGGGAGCAGAGTAGTGGTGGCGGTGGCGGTGGCGGTGGAGGCGGTATTCGGGGGAGGACGAGAGGGAGGAGGTGGTGCACGTGGTGGCGGCGGCGGCGGCGGCAGGCCGACGGGACAGATCGTCGACGGGAGCGGGAGAGGCTGACTCGTCCTCCTCCTCCTCATCATCCTCTTTCTCGGCGTCGTCGTCATAGTCGCCGCTGCCGCTGCCGTGGTCGTGGTCGTCGTCGTCGTGGTCGTCGTCGTCGTCGTCGTCCTCGCAGATGAGGTCCTCGTAGCGGAGGTAGCCCTCGTCGTCGCCGTCGGGTACTTCGTAGTCGAGCGAGGCCCAGAACATCTTGAGGAGGCGGGAGATGACCGGGAACGAGGGCCGCTTGTGGGCGTCCTCGCGCCAGCAGGCCTTGAGGAGGTTCCTGATCTCGACAGGCCAGCCCGCCGGAACCTGAGGCTTCATCTTGCACTTGACTATCCGGTTCACCACCTCATCGGGCCGCATCTCAGGGAAGGGCGCCTCCTCCGCCAGCATCTCCTGCTCCCATTCCCATTCCCATTTTCCAATTCCACAGCGCCCAACAGGAAACCGCCGAAACTCGGTCAGTATAAATGGTAAATATATATATATAGAGAGAGAGAGAGAAGGAAAATATGTATGTATGTATGTATCGAGATAAATAGATAGATAGATAGATAGATACGGGACATAGATGGCGCTACGCGGGTGCGGAGAAGGGGAAGAGGGAGAGGGGGGGGGGCGGAACCCAGAGAAGGACGCCGTAGCTCCAGACGTCTGATTTCTCGGAGGACTCCTTGAGCGAGAGGGCTTCCGGAGCCATCCACTTGACGGCGCCGAACGGGTTGGTGGTCACGTAGACGTGGCCTTCACGCGACATCCCAAAGTCGGCCACCTTGGCGTCCAGCTTGCCGAGCGCATTCTTGTGCACCTTTGGGGGGGGGGCTCGTGAGCAGTCGTACCACCCAACCAACGAATCCGCGCGCACGCCAGAGAGGGCAAGCTGGGGGGGGGAGGTGTGGTGACATAGACCAGAATGTTGCGGGCGGCCAGGTCGCGGTGCAGGATGTCGTGCATGTGGAGGTGCACCATTCCCTCTGCAGGCATGCATGAGGCGCGGATAGATGGGGAAGGGGGGGGGGCAGGAGCAGCGTCAGGTTCAGCGCAAGGCCCGGTTCGAGGCAAGAAGCGAAGCCAATCAGACGAGCGGGCGCGCGCGCGTGAGTGTCGTGTGTGTGTGTGCGTGTGTGTTAAATGCGCGTGGCGGTGGCAGTGGCAGTGGCGGTGGCAGTGGCAGTGGCAGTGGCGTGTACCTGCCACGTCCGTGGCGAGCTTGACCTTGTCCTTGAGGCCCAGGTTGTTGGTGCGCAGAAACGAGCACAAAGACCCCTGGTGGCACGCACGTACCGACGGGATAGGAAGCAGCCGATGGTGACGATGAGAGGAGCTCACGCAGAGAAGATCTCACAGACACCAACTGCGTAGCCATTTTGTGCTCCCACCCCCCACCCCCCGGGGGGGAGGGGGTCCCTATACCTCGGAGCACAGTTCGAGGATGATGCCCTGGTCCTCGCCTCCCGAGAGAATGGCTCCGTAGACTTCCACCACGTTAGGATGCGGTGGCAGCTTACTATCCTCCACACACGCACGACACGACCAACGACACACACCGGAACATAAAAGCGCGCGCACACCACGCGCGCACACCACGCGCACACGACACAATTAAGTGAGCAATCAATCGCCTCGGGGGGGGGGACGACGCGCGCATCCAGCGAGCCAGATGGATAGGTTGGGGGGGGGGTGATGGAGAGGAGGGCGGATGAGCGGATGAGCGGCGGCGGCAGAGAGAAGGCGTGAGAAGGGGCCGCGGTACCTGAATATCTCGATCTCGTGGAGCATGTTCTTGATGTGGCCCGTCATGATGCGCTTGATGGCCACGGGCCGCCCCTGCCACAGGGCCCTATACACCGCTGCCTGCCGTCCACTGCAGTAGCGGTCCAAGCAACAGCGGCATATCCACGCGGCCCCATTGGGGGTGTGGCCAGGCACAACCAGCCAACCAAACAAACCTCGCTCAGCTGGAAGTTGTGCGCGCGGGCGCGTGCTGCGTCGCGTGCGTGCGTGCGTGCCAAGGGAAGGAGCGGCGCGCTTGCGCTAAAAACAAAACACACACACACACACACACGAGCAGTACCGGCCGATGAGTTCGATCTGCTGGAAGTCCTCCCACTTTAGGATGACACGCGTGGGTGGTCGCGCGGGAAGTGTGTGAGAAGAGGGCACGGGCGGACCCGCACCCCACTTTTCGTGGGTCCTCTCCCCACGCGGGGTCGACGCGGTCTCGCCCCCCTCATCGTTCTCTGTTTGGTGCTTGGTGTGAGTTGGCTGGCGCAAGGGGAACTTGAAGAAGGAGCTCCTTTAAAATCAGAGCTCTCCATCAATGCCAATTGGATTCTTGAACAAGGAGCTGGTTCGCAACAAAACAAAAAAAAAGTTGGCAAGAAGGTACGGGAGTCGGAATGCCACATGTGGAGAACCACCGTAGGCGCCACCAGCCCCGCAAAAGGACGCTGCACGCGAGGGATGGACTCGAAGTTGGGCCTGTCTTTTTTTTTTGAGTCTTGCAAACAAAAACAATACGGGAGTAAGGAAAAGGAAATAAGGAAAAGGAAGGGAAATCTCGTGTTTGTAATTTTCTTCCCTCAGAAGTCGAACTCGTCGCGGAAGGCGTCGATGTCGTAGCGGAGGCTGCGCTCAAGGAGGTCGTCCCTCTCCATGCGCGAGAACACGGTCTGCAGGCTCATCCAGATGTGCTTGGCCGACGGCTGGATGGCGAGACAGGCGAGGAACTGGGTGGCCGCTTCCCGGTACATCTCCATGTTGAGGTAACTGATGCCCAAGTTGGCTCGCGCCCGCGTGTACGTGGGCTTGATCTTGAGCGATCTGATCATGATCACACGACACACGACACACACACATACACACATACACGACACACACCAGTCCGCCGCACCGCCGTCAGCGTCCGCCCCCCTTTTGCTGTCTTTGGCTGTTTGGAGGTGGTGCGGTGGTGCGGTGGTGGCCCCAACTGGGAACTGCGTGGTGGTGGTGGTGGTGTGCCACCATACGAGGGGAGGGAGCGAGGGGGGGGGTGCACGGGGGGTTACCTGTAGTAGGGCGCGAGGGCCTCCTTGCTGTGGTTGCTGTTGGCCAGGGTGGCGCCCAGCTTGTTCCACAGGGCGTAGTCGTTGGGCCTCTTCTGCAGCGCCAGCCGGAAACAATCGACCGCCTTGTCGTACTCCTGCACCACGTCGTTGTGGAGCAGCAAGCGGCCGCGATTGCACACATGACCCATGCCATGCCATCCATAGAAGGTGAGTGTCCGCGGCAAACACTGCCTTGCCCTGCCTGGCGTATTGGGAGGGGAGGGGAGGGGAGGGGGAGGGAGGGGAGGGGTGGGCGTGCCTGGGAAATATTGAAGAGGAGGCCGAGAGCGATCTGCACGTCGGGGTCGGGATCGTGCGGAGACATGCGTGCCGCCTCCAGGTACATCTCCGTCACCCGGTCGTGCAATTCCGACTCGTCGTCCATGGTGTCGATTTCTGCAGCCCCCCCCCAACGCGTTGTGTCGTGTGAGGAATTGGGGATGGTTGGGGGGGGGACCAGCGCACGAGCGGCGCACGCGGAGACGGAGGAGGGGAGGAGGAGACCTTGGGTGAACTCGGGGGCGCTGAGGAGCGGATGATCGTGGTAGCGCGGGTTGCGTGCGAGCCAGTTCTTGAGCACACGCAGGGCCTGCACGCGGTAGGAGTCGTTGGTGCAGCTCACCGCCAGTGACATCAGAGCCGGCAGGTCCCTGCGCACCCACACCACACCACACCACACGGGTGTTGTTGTACGGTCGTTAGGCCACGCGCGCTTGGCCACGCGTGCGGGGAGTGGGAGCGGAGAGAGACGCGGGACGCATTTCGAAATATATATATATATAAATATAAATAAATATATACATACCCGGCGTCGATGTGCGTGGCGCGGGTGAGGGCAGCAATGGCCCGGTCATCCCGGTCGTTTTCGGCGTGCGCTTCGCCCAGGCGCCTCCACACCTCGTTGTTCTGTATTAGCCCCATCATCCATCAGCCAGCCCCATCATCCCCGTAGCCGCGCGCGCGCGCGGTGGTTGGGTGTCGGCGCGGACACGCAGGATGCGGCCCAAGAAGGGATTGGCGCTGTGAGAGATGTGGGTCCATGGCCGCCCCGGCGCGGAAAGAGAGAGAGAGAGAGAGGATGGGTGGGGGTGGGGTGTGCCTGCATGTCGCGTTGGGCAGCGGCCTCGAAGGCAAGGATGGCGTCGGAAAGCTCGCCGGCGTCAAAGAGCTCGATGCCGCGGAGGAGCGGGGCGGGGTGGTCAGCGAAGGGGTTGTCAGGGCTGAATTCGTAGGGCCGTATGCCGCCCCAGGCACCAAAGTTGAACATTCGGCTGATTTCGTCATCGGCCTCGAAGTCGCCAAAGTCCCAGCCCCTCTGGCCCACCGTCGGGGGCACAAAGTCGTCGTATTCGCCGAGCCAGTCGTTGACGAGATCACTCATCGTGCCCTCTGTGTGTCGTGTGTGTCGTGTGTGTGTCGTGTGTGTGTGTGTCCACTTATAAGCCGCGTCGTGTCGTGGGCGCGTGCCCTAGCGTATGCAAGGCTACGACGAGCAGCAGCGGAGCAACACGTGCACACAGGTCATGGCGAGTGGTCGCGCGCGAACCTTGCGGCGCGGAGGTGGTGGCGGTGGCGGACGTGTTGCTCTCGACCAACTGATCACCCTCCACGGTGACGTGGCCTTGCGCGATGCGGGACATGAGCTGCACGAACTTGGAGCGTTGCATCTTGGGATCGGCGATGGACGATATGCGGGCCCCCAGGTGCTTCAGCTCCTCCTGCAGACACATACCACACACGCGACACACACCACACACGCGACACACACACACCATACAAGGTCAGCGCGGGCATGGCGGCGCGCTGGGTGGGAGCAGTGGTGGGTCAGAGGAGGTCTTCCCCGCGCGCGCGCGCGCATACCTGCGCCTGCTGGTCGTTGAGGGTGTCGAGGTAGCGGGAGTAGGCGATTCTGTCGCTGAGCTGGTCCTTCATCTGCTCGAACTCGTTGGTCCACTGCTCCCCCTCGGCCTCGCGCCAGTGGTTCTGGAACTCCCGGAACTCGTGTTCGTCGAACTTGTCAAACTCCTCCTCCCACGCTGCAGCAGCAGCAGCAGCAGCAGCGGCACCCCGGTCATCGATGATTGACCCACCACCGCCGCCGCCACCACACGTCAGCCCTCAGTTTCAAAGGTTGGGGGGGGGCGCCTCCATTGGGCGCTGGCCCTCTCTGAGAGGCGGGAGGATGATCGTACCGGCGGGCCTCTCCGATTGCTGGCGGAATTCGCGGATCCACTCCATGTGGCCCATCTGCTCCGGATTAAACTCCGCCGCCCTGTAGGGGCAACCCATCCCCGCCGCCGCCGCCGCGTTGGGCATCAGCAACGTGGGCCGCGTGTGCCACTCGGCGGAGGCGAGTGGCGGTGTGGAGGAGGATTTAGAAAGAGAGAGAGAGAGGTATCAGGTACCACGCCTCGGCCTCCTTTTCGGAAAAGTCGGCGGCCCAGGCATCGGCAACGCGCGCGGGGGCCTGGTGCTGAGGGAGCGGCCGGTCTCCGAGCGTCATGGCCTCGAAGGAGGGACCCAGCTGCGCGTGCATCAAATGGTCGCCCCTCGCATCTGGGGACCAACGGCGAATGCCAAAGACGTGTGGCGGTGAGTCGCCGCACAGCGGCGGCGGCGGCCCGATTTGCGGCTTCCAGGAGAGGAAAAGAGCACGAGGGAGTGAATCGATGGGGGGGGACTACGCACCGGCGGTGGGCTCAAAGTGGTGTGCCATCACGCCCAGGCGGTTGCGCACCTTGCCTCCGTCGCCTGCCCGGCCATATGGCCCCGCCCGGTGAATCCCCTCCACCATCTGCGCGCGAGACCAGCTCCGACGACGGACGCCCATGTGAGCAACACACACGCACACACGCACACACCACACACACACACACACACAAATTCGCGACGCACAAGCATATGACGCACACGCACACACACGCACACACTAGATGTGGCCGGCGCGAGAGGCGAGAAACGGACGTGGACGCACCTGATGGTGGTGGTGCGAATCGAGAGGCTTGTGGTGGTGGTAGGGGCCGGCCTGCAGGTGGGGTGGCATGGCGCCCGAGGCCATCGGGTGGCCCAGCAGGTGCTCCAAGTGTCCGGGCATCTCCCCGCCTGCGCTCCACACCCACGGCCCAGCCCACGACAATCAGCATTGTGTCCCTCCCCCCACATCACGCCACGCCACGCCACGCCACGGGGACCACACCTTGTTGTCGCTGGCCGGCATAGGCGTCGGCAAAGGCGTCGATGTCGGGATCGAGCTCTGCAAAGGCGTTGCCCCCCGTCCCAAAGAACCCCTCCACCTGTACGTTGGTATACGGCACACGCACAACACACATATAGATATATAGATATATATACAGAGAGAGGGGGGGAGTAGATATAACATATACGCCGTCCCGCCGCCACGCGTACGGTCACAGTGTGAGTGCCACGCGTGGGAGAGAGGAGGAGGAGAAGGGAGAAGTTGCGGGGAAGAGGCGGGGAGGTGGAACTCGCACCCCTTGGTGGGAGTTGAGGAGCTCTTCTTCTCCCCGCCCGTCGTCCTCCAGGAAGCGCCCGTGTGGCCCCTCCTGCTGCTGGTGCTGCAGCAGCTCGAACTAGAGAAATAGAGCAGCCCCCCCCCAATAAAGAAGGAGGATCAGCACACGCAGCACACCACACCACACCACACCACACACAGGGGATCTGCATGCGTAGGCCCGCCACCGCCACCGCCACCGCCACCGTGGTGCCGGACCCGCGGCGGTGCTGCTGCTGCTGCTGCATTGGTGGGGAGTAGAGTGGAGTAGTGCGTACGCGCTGGCGGGCGGTAGGGTCCTCCCAGAGGCGGTTCATGGCATTCATGAGGGGGTTGCCACCTTCGCACGCGGCATCGGCCACCAAGTCTCGCAGTCCGCTCATTATTCTTCTGGCCACTGGTTGTTGTTGATGCAAACAAACAAATGCAGGAGAGAATGCAAGCGATGAGGCGGAACGTTTTCTTTTCTTTCGGCCTTTTCTCTGGCGGGAAACCGGCAGGCCCCAAAAAACAAATCCAAAAAAAAAATACAAACAAAGAGATACCTGGATCCACACCACCACCACCACCACGAGATGGAGCAGCAGCCGCAGTCCCCGTGGCAAGTGGCCGGCGTGGAGGGGATGCCGCTGGGAGGAGGTGGACCCGCCCCCGCCCTCGCGCTCTCGCCCGACGGAGGCGTGTCCTCTGCCACCACTACTCCCGCCGCCGCTGCTGCCGCCACTCCCAACGACGACCACGACCACATCGATGGCGACGAGCTGGCGAGCCTCAAGCGGGAGGAGGAGGCGGCCCGCCGCGACCTCTTGGCCCGCCGCAAGGCCAGCCTGCAGCAGCGGCAGCAGGCCGCACGCTCTTCCTCCTCTGGCGGCGGCGGCGGCAGCAGCGGCAGCAGCACAGGCAGCGAGAGCCCGGCGGCGGCGGCGGCAGCTGCAGGTGCCGCCCAGGAGGAGGCCGGTGCCTCCAAGGCGCCGCCTGTCACGGCCTCAACACTAAAGAAGCCGCCTCCGCCGCAGCAGCAGGAGGTGCGGGCCGAGGCGGTGGAGAACGCGGTGCGGTTCCTCAACCATCCGAAGGTGAAGGCGTCGCCGCTGGGCAAGCGCCTGGCCTTCCTCGAGCACAAGGGCCTCAACGACTCCGAGATCGCCCTCGCCCTCAAGCGCGCCAACATCTCCTCCGACGACGTAAAGCTCGCCATGGACCTCGCCAACAGCAACAACGCCGCCGCCGCTTCCGCCACCACCACGTCGTCGTCCGTCACCCATCATGATGGTGCACCACCGCCCACCGCACCCTCGTCCCCTGGGTGTGCCGCCGCCGCCGCCGCCGCCGCCGCGAGCCTGCTCTCCCTAACGTGTCGTGCGTGTGTGTGTCGTGTGTCGTTGACGCGTGTATGTCGGAATGTTGTGCGCACCTTTTGAGGGGCAGGAGTGTCCCCCTCCCCGCCACTTCCGCCCCGCGCCGCTGGCGCCGCCGGAATGCAGGTGGTGCAGCAGCCGCCGCCGCCGCAGCCGGCTGCAGGCTGGGGCTGGGGAGCCCGAATAGGAGGCGCCGTCGCGTTCTTCGCTCTCGGCGGTGCCGCCACGCTCCTTGCCGCGGTACCTCCCGCCCCGCGCGCCGGCAGCCCCGCGACGACCGCGCGCACTGACGGTGGTACCCCCTAACCCCCTCCTCCATTCTCTCGGCAGAAATATCTCTTCGGCCTATCCTCGGGCGGCACCGGCGAACAGGTGCGCGCTCTCTCCGTCCCATTTATTAATATGGCTTCGGTTGCGGTTATGGTTGTGGTTGCCGTTATGGTTGCGGTTATGGTTAGTTGTGAGGTGCACTCTGGAGTGTGTGCGCTTTTGAAGGCGACTGATGGCGGGTTGGGCTGCGATTCACGATCGATGGTCGCTGGTTGGTTGGTTGGTTGGTTGGTTGGTTGGTTGGTTGGTGGCGCTCGGCAGCAGCAGGGGGAGAAGAAGCAACAGGACGGCCAGGCGAAGGTCGGGCAGGACAAGACCGATCGACTCAGTGCGGAGCTGCAGTCCCTCCGTGCCTCACAGGAAGCCCTCGCCGGCCAAGTCAGGTCAGGCCACAAGCCCCGCCGCCCCCCGCCCCGCCCCAAACTGCACCCTCGCCGCCGCCGCACCGCCACACCGCCGTCACCAGTAGTGGTGGTCTCACGACACCGCCCACCTCGTCGCATTGACACGCCGGTGTGTATTGGGAGGGGGGCGTGCAGAGAGGCGTTCGTGGCGATGAAGGAGAGCGTCGAGAGCCAGACGCAGCAGGCCTTCCTCCGAAGCACCGGTGAGGCGCCGCCGAGGAAAACCGCCGCCACCACCACCGCGCACGACGAGACCATCGCCTCGCTCAAGACTGAAATCAAGACCCTCCGCGGTACGGACCCCAGAGCAACGCAGCGCACCACAACGACACGCGCGCGGTTGTTCTGACCGGGCAATCTTTGGGGGGGGCGGGGGGTAGCCATGCTGCTGGATACCCGTACGGCTGAGTCGGCGGCCACGCGCGCCTCCACGGTTGCCGACCTCCCCTCCTATTCCATTCCCTCGTCGTCGTCGTCGTCCACGTCGTCGGCGGCATCGCCCGTGGGGCTGCCCAGCTGGCAAATGGCGTCCAAGCGCACCTCCGTCACCCAGCCCTCCTCCGCCTCGTCCTCGAGCACCGACGCACCCACTCCCTCTCCTGCGCCGGCCTCCTCTCCCTCTGCCGTCGGTAAGCCGAGTGCCCCCAAGGTGCCGCTGCCCTCCCCCTCACGCACCCGTTGTCGTGTGCGGTGGTGCCCGGGCGTGTGCGGTGCTGCGTGTGCGGTGGTGCGGTGGTGCGTGTGCGTTGCTCTGGGGCCAACCGGCAACAAGGGGTTTCTCCCCACTGTGGGGGGGGGTGTACCGCCTCTTCATTTGCTGATGCGCGCCACCCACCCATCCACCGACGCAGCCCTACGAGCGGAGGGCAGCCGCCAGCAAGGCCGAGGCGGCCGCCACCTCCGCCAATGTCGTCGAGACACCCGCCGCCTCCTCCTCCGAGGATGAGCCCCAGGTGACCGAAAGCAGCGCCGCCCCCGCGCCTGCAGACGCCGCCGCAGCGGGACACGAGCAGCAGCAGGAGGAGGAGGAGAAGGACGCCACCACGTCTCCTGCGTGAAGAGGAAGAAAAAAATGCGGAAAGTTAAATGCAAAGAAAAAGGGGGGGAAGGGGATAAGCAGCAATCTCAAGAACAGCTGAGATGGAAGGAGCCAGCAGCACCAGCACCAGCACCACCCCGGGGGGAACAGAAAGCAGCAGGACTGAGACCGCGACCACTGCGGCTGAGGTAGCGCCACCTCCAGTGGTGGTGGTGGGGTTCTACGCGTGCAAGCGGTGCGGGCACCAGCTGGGGGTGCCCGCCCAGGTGGCCCCCTCACGAGCCGGGTCCCGGCCAGCAGGCCTTCGCCTGGTCCAAGCGAGAGTAACCCCCCCCCGGTGCACGTGTGGCGTGGCGTGCTGGTGGCGCCAGCTAACGGGTTGGCTAACGGGTTGGCTGGCAGGCAGGTGGCAGCGGCGGTGGCTGAATGCACGTCGCTCTTCATGCACGACAAGCTCGAGTGGATGGGGGAGCTGGCGGACGTGGAGGGCAAGCTCGTGTGCCCGCGCTGCGCCTACCGCGTGGGCTCCTACCACTGGAGCGGCGCACAGTGCTCCTGCGGGTGCCAGGCCCACCCGCAAGCGCCTTCCCCCCCCCCCATACGTCAGCGACCTGACCACTGCCCGTGGTGTTGTATTGTAATGTGTGGTGGCTGGTGGGTGCTGCAGGCACTGGAGCACGCCCGCCATCCAGCTCCAGAAGAAGCGCATCGACGAGCGGCGCCTGTGATCGTCGTACCCCGAACACGAAAGCCCTTCCCCTTTTTCTTTTTTGGAGGGAGGGAGGGAACACGAGGCCTCGTTGCCACGACCCACGCGAGCGTTGGGTGAGCTCTTCCTCTTGCGGGTCCTGCCGCTTCCGACCGGTGGTTCTTCAGGTGCTGCGGGGCTCCTGGGCTCCTCCTTCTCCTCTCTCTGCATTCGCCGCCGCCGTTGGAGGAGCGGCGGCCTCCGCCTGGTGCTCCTCGTGCCCCGTGTCTCCTGCAAGCCGCCGCCACACCTGCCGTCGCAGCCAGTATCAAAGAGGGAGGGAGGGGGCAACAATGTGTGCACGTGAGCCACTGCCGCCACCGCCACCGGTGGTCGTGGCGAGCTGCACACAACGTGGTACAACAAAAGGTACGTACGTGGAGAGAGGCGAGGGCGTGCCGCTGAGCTCGCCCCACTCGCCCGTCGGGCTCTGTGAGTGCCACCATGGCCTCGGCTGTTGCGTTTCTTGAACCCCCCCCCAAAAGCAAAGAAATATGCGTGAGGCCCGGGCAGCTGTAGCGGTGGGGAGGGGGGGGGACAGGCGGGGTACAGGGAGCGTAGGAGGTGTGCGATGCCCGTGAGTTCGTGCAAGACGGTGGCTTCTTCTCGTGTGAGCTCCATCTTCGTGCTGGTCGTTGAGGTTGTTTATGGTTGTCGCTTGGCTTTGGTTTTGAGAGGAGGGAGAGAGGTGTGTGGTGCTGCTTACGTCCTGCGGCGTTCAGGGCCGCGGTGGGCTATCGCGCAGGATAGCGAAACAGCACGTGGTGGTCGTGCCACCCGCTGTGCCTTCTCGTTTGAGGGCGCGGGAGCGGCACGGACAGCCGCAGCGCCCGTCTCTTTGTCGCGAAGGGGATTACCAAAGAACCCCAGTCCCCGCCCCGCCCCATTTGTTGGACCCCTCCCACCGCCCGCATTGTGGGACACCCGCACAGGACCGGAGGTCTCGTCTCGTCTCCTCCAGGCCCCGGCACCTCGACTGCACCGACACCGCCACCGCCACCGCCACCACCGCCACCAATGCTGCTCATGCGACGATGCCTGCGAAGCCCCGCCGTCATCACTAACACTGCCGGCGGCGGCGGTCGGGCGGCACCCGTGCGGTGGTTCTCGTCTGGTGCCGCGCCGCCGCCGCGGGAGTTGGCCCACGTGGTGAAGCTTGACAGCCTCCACCAGGAGACCCCCGAACGCATCTCCCAACTCTGGATCGGTTCGCTTGCCCCACCCTTTTTTTTGTGCCAACACAGTGGGCCACCTGCAACGCTCTCCACGGCCGCGCTCCTTTGTGTTCGTGTTCTGTGACACAGACTACCACGTGAAGAAGGAGGCGTGCGTGTCGGCTGTGGCCCCGGCGGCCACCTACGCCCTCATCAACCGCCGCCTGGCCGAAAGGTGCGCACCCGCCCCATCACCCACGACGGCGGCGGGCCGTACCGCCTGCATCGCGTGGCACAGCAGCAGCAGCAGCAGCTGATACGTGGGTGTCCCCCCCCCCGGCACTAGTCCTCTGTTCGTGTTGCCGCTGCCGCGGGAGTCCGGGTTCGTGTCGGTGCTGCTGCAGGCCCACGCCGAGCAGGACACGGTGATGTTCACGGAGCTGGAGCAGTACCAGCGGGCGGCCGACAAGAGCGCCGTGCCCTCGTGCCTCCACCTCCGCTACTACACCGACCTGGCCGCCACCAAGGACATCGTGCTCGTGCGCGGCGAAGTCGATCTCGCACGCCTCACCACCACCGGTACGGGGCTCTCCCATCGCGATCCCCACCTCCTGTTGGCTACTACTGCTGCTGCTGCTGCTGCTCGCACCATGACCCCCCCCACCACCACCAACGCGCTCACTGGCTGCTGCTGCTGCTGCTGCACGTGTCGTGGTGCAGAGGCGCAGACGCTGGTGAATCAGCTGCAGGTGTACTACCTGGCCGACGCCAAGTACGCCGCCGTCAAGACCTTCAACCACGACCCGGCCCAGTTTGACTACAACGCCATCATCGACGACCTGCGCGGAGGCGTCGGCACTGACACCGTGCGCTAGCTTCACGACGGGGAGAGAGAGAGAGAGAGGGAGGAGGGGAATGTAGCGGCGTACACGTGCCATCGTTGAAGTGGCTGCTGCTATGCTGTGCTACGTGCTACATAATGATCATAGCGTTGTTTATGTACAAAACAGTGAAGAGGAAGAGGTGGTGAAATACATCCCTGCTACTGCGGCGGCGGCGTAACGTGGGTGCGCGGTGGTGTGCCGCTAATTCGTGGGTGGCCGCGCGTATCGAACGTCGGACCTCTGCTCTAGAAGTCGGCTCGGTGCACGGGTTTATCTGCGAGGTCAGATGCCGGGAGAGACAAGGGGGCAAAGATGAGTCTAGGCCCGCTTTGGGGATCGGAGGTGGTGGCGGTGGTAGTAGAGGTGTGGGTGGATGGGGGGGGGGCGGTACCGGCGATGTAGGTGAACTCGAGGGGGTTGGACATGGTGCGTCCGTCGTTGGTGACCTGCACCATGACCTTGACCTCGCGCACGGGGTCGCGGTTGTAGGGCGAGAAGATGGCGGGGCACGGGTACGGGGGCGCCTCGAAGAAGAGCACTGAGTCCGAGTACATCTCCGGGTTGAGGGCGGTCACGTCCCCGTGGGGCGTCGCGAAGATGATGCTCAGCGAGGGTCCCTTGATAAAGGGCTGCCCGATCACGTGCATCTTGTCGCCCCCGTGCACGCTCCCGTGGCTCTTGTTCAACGTGCGCAGCTTCACGCTCTCTGCCAAGTGACGATGATGATGATGATGACGATGAGAGTGGACGTACCGTGTCGAGTCAGCACCACCGACCGTTCCGCACCACATCACACGCGTGCGCGCGCGCACACACACATACACACACACACGAGAGTCGGGGGGGGGGTAGCACGTACTTCGCCGGGCGAGGACCTTCATGTGGGAGTAGGCGTAGAAGGCGCTGGTGCGGGTGCCGAAGCTGCCCAGGGGCTGGCCGTCCTTGGTGAGCGGCACGAACTCGAGGCAGAACTCCCGCTCGCCGTGCTTGGTCGACGCCTCCCGCATGCTCAGGTTGTCGAACGTCGCACGCCCGTCCTCCTTCAGCGACACCGTCTTCTTCCCGCCCAGGATCTGCTGGTTCTGTGATGTGTGCGTGTGTGCGCGCGCGCCGTGTGGTACCGTGTGATCGCCGGAGAGTGAGTGGGTTGTGCGTGCACCAGTGGGGCTGGAGTGGTGTGCGGGGCAAGAGAGAGAAAGAGAGAGAAAGAAAGAAGGGTGCGTACCACGTCCTCGGGTGAGGAGGCGTAGGCGAGGCGCACTTCGACGGACTGGATGGGGAGTGGCGTGTCGTGGTGGCCGGTGATGCGGACGGTGACGCCAAAGTTTCGGTTCTCGCTCGGGGTGCGGGTGCGCACTTCGACGGGCGGCTGCCGCTCCACCACCAGCTCCACGGGCTCGCCCTGCTGCTGCTGCTGCTGCTGCCGCTTGCCCCCGTATTGCTGGTGGTGGTGCTTGGCGTTCGTGGTGGCTTCGGGGCGCTCCTCGAGCTTGACTGCGACGCCGCGGTGGCCCACGAGCGCTCCGGCGAGCTCGACGGCGAGGGGCAGCTCGTAGAGGTCGCCGGCCTTGCTGCTGCTGCCGCCGCCGCCTTTCTGCTGCTCGCAGCCTGTCGAAGCCTCGGCGATCGTGTCCGATGCTGATGCTGCTCCTGCAAGGGTGGGGCGGCGCGAGGCGGCCAGCTTGCGCTTGCGCTGGACGGGCTCGTCGAGCGGAGGCGACCACATACCGGGCACCCCGGCGCCCGCCTTCGAAGGCGCCGAGGCCGGCAACGCGCCTTGCTGGTGCTGCTGGTGCTGCTGCTGCTGGTGGTGGTGGTGGTAGGGGAAGTGGTGGCCGTGCTCCTGCTTGACGGGGTTGAGGACGTGGCGGGCACCACCGCCTCGATGCGCTGCCGCCGGGGGAGGTGCGGACATGAGGGGCGAGTCGAGGGCATTGAACGAGGACGAGCTGGCACCGCCCAGGCCGTAGAGGCCGAGAGCGTCGGGCATGTCCATGGGCCCCATGGCCTGCAGGTCGAAGTAGGACAGGCCCAGGGGCGGCATGCTACCCATCGCCGCCGCCGCCCCCGCGTGGACGCCGCCGCCGATCAGGAGGCCGCCCTCGTCGTAGTCGGCGAGGGCCATGAGCGAGGAGCCCGCCGGCGAGGAGCGCCCCGAAGGCGAAGAAGAAGCCGGCGAGGGAGAAGAGGCCGCGAACGACGAGGACGTGGCGTGCGAGTAGTGGTGGTTGCGGTGGTGGGCGGTGCTTCCGTAGGGGGTGGCCGAGGGGTGGAGGAAGGAGGCGTCCCAGCCACTGTCCTCGCTCAGGCCGAGGTGGCTGCCATGCTGGGCGGAGACCAGGTCTTCGAGCATGGCATCTTGGTAGGCGTGCCCTGAAGGCTCAATGAAGCTCTTGATGAAGCTGTCACCGCCATCTCCCAGGTCTTGGAAGCAGAAACCCAGATCCATCTGCTGCCGGTGGTGTACGCGGACCGTGCGAAGTAGGAGAAGGTGGCAATGCTGCTGCCGCTTGGTGGTACGTCTGCCTTGCGAGATGAGATGAAAGCAACAACTGGGTACGAAATCTGCACGACTCATTGCCAGCGGGCATTTTCCGTTGGCCACCCAAGAAAACCCTCCCACCCCGTCGAATTTCGTCCAGCCGAAGCTGCCGAGTGGCGGAAACGCCCCATCGAAGTCCGTTGCGAAATTTCTGCTACGTGGCTCATCATCTTTTCCCACCCCCCAAGATAAAGATCAATCAAAGACCGCGATGGCTGCGCGACCTTCCCCTCCCAAGCCCCATGAATTGCGTACGGGAGGCCTCACAACGGGAGGCGCCACCGCCACAGCGGGCGCTGGTGTATCGCGAATGACAGAATTTGATCGTGCGAGGGCGGCCACTGGTGCGCCGTCCCTCAGCACGGCCACAACTCCCACACTGCCTCCTCGACCTGGTACGAGAACAGGTTCCCTCATTTTGCATTTTTTTTTCGCCTTGGAGGGTCAATTTTGGAGCTGAGGAGGACTCTGCATCGTATATGCAGGCGGGGGAATGTACGGAGGCGGTGGCATGCTGGGTTCGGGCGGGTACGGCGGGAGCACCTACGGAAGCAGCTACGGCGGCGGCTACGGTGGTGGTGGCATGTACGGCAGCAGCTACGGAGGCGCGTACGGAGCGTCGCGCTACGGGGGCGGCTATGGCGGCTACGGCGGTTCTTCGAGCTATGGGAGCGGCTACGGGGGCGCGTACGGGTCGTCGCGCTACGGTTCTTCGCGCTACGGAGGCGGCTACGGGGCGTCGTCGATGTACGGCAGCAGCTACGGCGGCGGCGGCGGCTACGGCGCCTACAACCGAGGGCCGCTCGGGGCTGGACCGCGCGGCCCGGGCGAGGGCGGCCCCGGGGTGGTGACGTGGATCGACCAGTTCTCGCAAGTGGTGGACACATTCGGGCGCTTCGCGCACCTGCTCGACATGAACTGCGACGCCCTCTACGGCTCCTTCTCGTCAGTGCTGCGGCTGTTTGAGTCCATGTCGGAGCTGCGTCGCGAGCTGCTCTTCATCTTCCAGACGGTGACGCTCTACCGCCTGCTCAAGTCCGTTCTCGGGCGCGTCGGGTCCGTGGGCAGGTTCATCACGGGTGGCTCCACCGCCTCGGTCGTGTCATCTTCTTCGACGTCGGGCCTCGATCTCGACTCCTTCCAGCACTTTCAGGGCAAGGACCAGGCGGCTCCTCGCAGCGGCCGCCGCTTCTGGCCGTTCCTCCTCTTCCTCATCAGCGCCATCGGCGGACCCCTCATCATCAACCGACTCTGGCGAATGCTCCGCGCGGCGGCCGCCGCCGCCCAACAGCCCCAACAGCAGCTCGCCGACGAGGAGCGCGAAGAAGCCCCCATCTACGTCCAGGCCCTCTACGACTTTGTCGGCTCCGGCTCAGAGGGTACCCTCTACATGCCCCCATGCCTCCGCAGCCGAGGCCTTTTCACTCTCCTTCGCGTTCTCGGCCAAACACTGACGTACCTGTGTGTGTCCTGTGTCCTGTGTCCTGTGTGTGCTTGCGACGCGACAGGCGACCTTCAATTCGGTAAAGGCGCCTTGATCCGGGTCCTGCGAGCCGACCCCGACCAGGGCTGGTGGGAAGGAGAGACGGGCGGGCGAGTGGGCCTCTTCCCCGCCAACTTCGTGCAGCCAGTCTCCCGGCCACACGGCGCCGCAGACAACAACAATAACGACGCCGCTGCACTGGGCAGCGCGTGGACGCCCGGAAGCAGCGCCGAACCCATCCGCCTCCACCTCGGGGCTGACGTCCAGCAGCCCCCCTCCCGCTTTGCCTGACCTCGCCTTGTACAGACGAAAAGCTTTTCGTGGATTTCCCACGGTCGGTTGGTGGTGAACACGGGGGCGAGGGTTTGAAAACAAATTAGTTGCGTGACGCCCATCGTGTTGGAGGAGGTCCAATGACTACTACCACTACCACTAGTGCTGGGTCCACTGGATCTTGGAGATGTCGACGCCCTCCTTGACCATCTCCCAGAGCGGGGACATCTCGCGGAGGCGGTCGACGTGCTTGGCGCAGAGCTCGATGGCGTGGTCGACCTCGCGCTCGGTGGTGAAGCGGCCGATGCCGAAGCGGAGCGAGGTGTGGGCCATGTCCTCGGAGACGCCGAGGGCGCGCAGCACGTAGGAGGGCTCCAGGGAGGCCGAGGTGCAGGCCGAGCCCGAGGAGAGGGCCACCTCCTTGAGGGCCATGAGGAGCGACTCGCCCTCGACGTAGGCGAAGGAGATGTTGAGGTTGCCGTGGTACCGGCGCTCGAGGTCGCCGTTGAGGTAGACCTCGGGCACGCGCGCGCGGATGCCGTCGTAGAGGCGGTGGAAGAGGTGCTTGACCCACGCGCCGTCGCGCTCCATCTCCTCGAGGGCCACCTCGCACGCCTTGCCCAGGCCCACGACCAGCGGCGTCGGCACCGTCCCGCTCCGCAGGCCGCGCTCCTGCCCGCCGCCGCTGATGATCGGGTGAAGCCGCACGCGGGGCTTCCTCCGCACGTAGAGCGCGCCGACGCCCTTCGGGCCGTAGAGCTTGTGACCGCTGATGGAGAGCAGGTCGATGCTCATCGCGTTCACGTCGAGCGGGATCTTGCCCACGGCCTGCGCCGCGTCGCAGTGGAAGAACACGCCCCGCCGCCGGCACAGCTGCCCGATCTCGCCGACGGGCTGGATGACCCCGATCTCGTTGTTCACCGCCATCACGCTCACCAGCACCGTGTCGGGCCTCATCGCCGCCTCGAGCTTGGCCACGTCCAGCACCCCGTTCTTCTCCACCGGCAGGTACGTCACCTCGAACCCCTCGCCCGCCTCCAGCACCCGGCACGAGTCCAGCACGCACTTGTGCTCCTGATACCAACCACCAACGACGACCGACGACGCGACACGCATACATTCCCACCCCCGCGGTGAGGCACACTCGATGTAATAGCCGAGGACGTGTGTCGTGTGTCGTGTGGGAGAGAGAGAGAGAGAGAGAAGGTACCGTGACGGTGGTGATGATGTGTTTGCGCTTCTCGCCGTAAAAGCGGGCCACGCCCTTGATGGCCGCGTTGTTCGACTCCGTGGCGCCCGACGTGAACACCACCTCCTTCGCGTCGGCCCCGATGAGCCGCGCCACTTTCTGGTCACACGCGCGCGCGTGGAGCGTACAAACAGTTAAAAGAAGAAGAACCCCCCCCCCAACCAAGCACCCAATCAACCGACCGCAACCGCCAGATCTCATGAGTAGAGTTGGTGGGGGGGGGGAAGTAGTACCTCGCGGGCGTCCTCGACGAGGTCCTGTGTCTCCCAGCCGTAGTGGTGGGTGCGGGAGTGGGGGTTGCCATAGGCCTCGGTGTAGACGGGCAGCATGGCGTCCAGCACGCGCGGGTCCACCGGGGTGGTGGCCTGCATGTCAAGATACACCGATCGCCCCCCCTGGGTCGCGCTAGGCACGCTGCTGGCCATGCGGGCGGCACCCGAGGAGAGGCGTATGGGCGCGGCCGAGGGAGCCGCTCTCGGCCAGCCCTTGCGGAGAAGGGCGCCCCGATGGGTGATGCTGCTGCTGTTCCTTTTCATCTTCTATGTTGGGGCTCTGTCGGCTTTTTCCGCCCTATTTTCCCTTTGCCCTTCATTACCATTTCCTCGAAACAGGCCACCGGAGGCGTGGAAAAAGGCGGTGGACGCGTGGGAGGGGAGGTACAACAGGGGAGATGGGAGGGGGGAGGGGAAAGTGAGAGAGTGCAACGAGAGGGATCTCTCCTCGACTCTACTCTACTGGGCGGAGGCACGCTGCTTGCCCATGAGGTTGAGGGCCGAGCCGGCCTTCCACCAGGCGATCTGGCCCTCGTTGAGGGTCTGATTGGCCACCACGTCGAAGGGCTTGCCCTCCTTGGGCGTCACTCTGAGCGTAACGGGCTGCACGGAGCGAGGGAGGGGGAGAAGAGAGTGAGCGACGGGATCCCGATAAACGAGGTAAAGCCTGGCTGGCTGGCTGGCTGGCTGGTGGTGGCTGGTGGGCGGGGGAGGGTTACCTTGCCGGGGGCGAGGTCCTTGAGGCCGACGATGGTGATGCGGTCGTTGCCGCTGATGCGGTCGTAGTCAGCCGGGTTGGCGAAGGTGAGGGGGAGGATTCCCTGCTTCTTCAGGTTCGTCTCGTGGATGCGGGCGAAGCTGCGCACCACCACGGCCTTGCCGCCCAGGTACCTCGGCTGTTGCAGGTGTTGTGGTGTGGTGTGTGTTGTGAGTGGAAGAACCTCGCGTGGATTGGATTGGATTGGAGGGAGACGAGGATTGGAGGGGGGGGGGGTTACCTCGATGGCGGCGTGCTCGCGGCTGCTGCCCTCGCCGTAGTTCTCATCGCCGATAACGATCCAGGGCACGCCGGCCTTCTTGTAGGCGCGGGCGACGTCGGGGACGGCGCCGAACTCGCCGGTGAGCTGGTTCTGGACGCAGTTGGCCTTGTTGTTCTCGGCGTTGATGGCACCAATGAACATGTTGTTGGAGATGTTGTCGATGTGGCCGCGGTACTTGAGCCAGGGTCCGGCCATGGAGATGTGGTCCGTCGTGCACTTGCCCTTGGCCTTGATGAGGACCGGCATGTTCTCGATCGCATCGGATCCATTCCACTCGTCGAACTTGGGGAGGAGCTGCAGGCGTTGGCTACGAAGAAGAAGAAGAAATGGAAGACTCGTTAGACACACCCCCTCGCAGGAATCGGACTCGCTGCTTGGGGTGTAGGCTGACGGACGCACCTGCTGGGGTCGACCACCACGGTGACCTTGCTGCCGTCGGCGGCGGGAGGCTGGTAGGTGTCCTCGCCAGCGTCGAAGCCGCGAGCCGGGAGCTCGTCGCCGTAGGGGCTCTTCAGCTTGAACTGCTTGCCATCGGCGCCGGTGAGCGAGTCGGTGAGCGGGTTGAACGTCAGGTCGCCGGCGATCGACATGGCGGTCACGAGCTGTATGGGCAGAGCGCGCGCGCACATACACCAGAGAGAGAGAGAGAGAGCGTGTGCGTTAGCAGGGCACATCGGTCTGTGGGCAGAGGGCGCTGGAGGTACCTCGGGGGAGGAGACGAAGGCGTGGGTCTGGGGGTTGGCGTCGTTACGGCCGGTGAAGTTGCGGTTGTAGGAGGTGATGATGGAGTTCTTGTCGCCCTTCTTGATGTCGTCGCGCTTCCACTGCCCGATGCAGGGTCCGCAGGCGTTGGCGAGGACGGTACCGCCAACCTTCTCGAAGGTGTTGATGATGCCGTCGCGAGCGATGGTGGCGCGGATCTGCTCGGAGCCGGGGGTGATGATGAACCCGCTCTTGGCCTTGACGCCGTGGTCGATGGCCTGCTGGACAATCGACGCGGAGCGCGACATGTCCTCGTAGGACGAGTTGGTGCAGCTGCCGATCAGGCCCTGCGCGAGCTTCTCGGGCCAGTTGTTCTTCTTCACGGCCTCGGCGAACTTGGAGAGGGGCGTGGCCAGGTCGGGGGTGAAGGGACCGTTGACGTGCGGCTCCAGCTCGCTCAGGTTGATCTCGATCACCTCGTCGTAGAGCTTGTTCTGCAGATCCTCGCAGCCTTTGCGAGAACAGGAAAAAAAAAGCATCACCCGCGGGTGAGCCACCGCACGACGCGGAGAATAGACAAAAGGAGCGGCGTACCGGGATCGGCGACGAGGTGGTCCTTGAAGGACTCGGCGGCGGAGGCGATGTCGGCACGGCTGGTGGCCTTGAGGTAGGCGGACATGCGGTGGTTGAAGGGGAACAGCGACGTGGTGGCTCCGATCTCGGCACCCATGTTACAGATGGTGGCCATGCCTGCAGGACGGACGACAACGGCGGCGATGAGAGGTTGTGTGTGTGTGTGTGTGTGTGTGTTGAAACCACCACGGATGCCAGCTCGCAACCACCGCCAACCCGCCAAGAGAGAGAGAGAGAGAGTACCGGTGCAGGAGATGGAGTCGAGGCCGGGGCCAAAGTATTCGACGATGTAGCCGGTGCCACCCTTGACGGTCAGGATGCCGGCCAGCTTGAGGATGACGTCCTTGGGCGCGGTCCAGCCCGACAGCGCGCCGGTGAGCTTGACGCCCAGGATCTTGGGCGCCTTGAGCTCCCACGGGATGTCCGCCATCACGTCCACCGCATCAGCACCGCCCACGCCTGCGTTGGCCCAACATACCCGGATCAGACGCGACTACGCGCCCACACCACCAGCGACACCGCGCCCACGACGGACAACAGGGGGGGACAACTTGTAGAAGAAGACGAGGGAGGGAGGGAGGGGTACCGATGGCAACCATGCCCAGGCCGCCGGCGTTGGGGGTGTGGCTGTCCGTGCCGATCATGAGACCACCGGGGAAGGCGTAGTTCTCGAGCACGATCTGGTGGATGATGCCGCTACCGGGTTTCCAGAAGCCGATGCCGTACTTGTTGGAGGAGCTCGCAAGGAAGTCGTAGACCTCCCTATTGATGTCCTTGGCATTCTTCAAATCTTGGGCACCGCCCACGTGGGCCTCGATGAGGTGGTCGCAGTGGATGGTGGTGGGTACGGCGACCTTGGGCAGACCGGCCGTCATGAACTGCAGCACGGCCATCTGGGCCGTGGCGTCCTGCATGGCCACGCGATCGGGCCTCAGCTTGAGGTAGGTCTTGCCCCTCACAACCTCTGCGGCACAAGGACGTGTAAGCAAGAGAGACCAGCAGTTACTACTCTCGAGATGGGGCTACACTCACCCTGCTTGGTGTCATCGAGGTGGCTGTAGAGGATTTTCTCTGTAGAAATGAGAAAGAGAAGGAACGGTGAGGTGACGCAATTGTGGTGGAATGAGTCGGAGGACAAGTGCGCACCAGCAAGGGTAAGAGGGCGATCCAGCCTCTTGCGGACATCGCTCAATTTCGACTTCATCTTCTCGTAGGGCAGCGTGGTGCTGGGCTCGAGGCGGGAAAGGGCAGCGTAGTTCCTCTCGCCCAGGGCCGACCTCACGGAGGAGGGCAGCGCCTAGAATATCATCAACATCAGTGGCGAGATTAACAAAAGTCCATTTGAATCGTCGAGATCGTTGCCTCTGATTTTGTTTTTCAATTGAGATCTTCCGAAAGATGCGGAAGGGCGCACCCTAGTGCAGGGGGTCACGATGGTAGCTCTCTTGAGCGACTGCATGGTGTGTGCGTGATCTACTTCGAAAAAAGAAAAAGAAAAACGGCCGCGCCAACTCTTCGTGGCCAACGAAGTTGTTCCCTGCACGGGAAAATCCAGGAAACCCGCGCAAGGTGGCGCTCCGCCAGACACACACGAACTTCGCCGGGGGAAACGCACCGGAGCTCACAACGGCGGCACTAACCCACTAAGAAATAAGAGGGGGGGGGCGAGTGTTCATCCCCTTTGCAGATTTTTGTGTGGGGAATTTTGTATGGTGGTCATCTTGACAGACAATCTCATCTTCCACCCACCACCTTCAAGGGCTCAAGCTGGTCACACACTCAGTCATACTGGCAATGGTGGTGTTTGAGATCATGGAAGAGAGACATCATCAACTCCTCAGGTGTCTATCTACATGTACCACCCACAACTGCTTCCCACAACAACTCTGCAAGGCTCAGGAGCATCAGCAGCTTGTGTCCACCCAGACCCTCATTTTTCACTTGTTTCACAACTATGGCAACACTGATTAAGCACATGTAACTAGTTAAATGCATTTAACAAGTGTTACATGTTTTCATTGCATCCCCTGTAAAACCAGACACTTACTTTATCACATACACATACACAATGACTACATGTTTGACCTACCAATACTTAACACATACATGATCTGGAAAATCAGAACTTTGCTTGTTTTGTGTATGTGCTCCTCTGAACAACCTCAAACTGCACCTTGCTTTTGCTCTCATACCCTCCATCAATCCATTATCAGTGGCCCACATGCTGCCCTCACATCCAGTTCATGTTCAACCTCACACCATATTCAGTCAGTTGCACACATGCACTAAACTTCATTCTTCACATTTGTGCTGAATGGAGGATTATTCCTGAAGTTACAAGTCCCTCAATATCACTTAGAGCAGCGGTCTAGCATGTCAAAATCACACATGCAGATCAAAATCTTCAAAACTGCCCTGTAAATCAAAAATGTCAAATCTCACATGATTTTAGCACAACAAAAATTCCACAGTCATTTGTGACCTCTCATTTCAAATGACCACAAGTTCAGGGAGGGTTGTGTGTGCTGATGAGGGCACCTTGGGTAGCATCTTCACCTTGCCATGCAGCGAGGTCTGCTGCATACTTCTTTGCAAGCCTGGCATGTGGCCTCCATATTGCTTCCTGTGCTGTTTGTGTGGAAGTTGACATGGAGAGACAGTGCAGACAGTGTAAGAAAGCTGTGGAAAAGAGGAAGTGGGGCAGAGTCATACAAATAGGCGTGCCACTGGTAGTTCCCTTCCCTGGTTGTGCATCAGTTGATAATGTGAAGACCAGGAGGAGGAGGCTTCTTCAAGGCCAGCTTTGCATCATCACACTTCTGGTTCTCAAGTGCCCTCTTCTCAAACTCACTTAAGCAAGGAGGTGCGCCATCACAGACTTGGGCATGGATCTCTCTGGCAGCCCAACTCTCCTGTGATCAGCACAGGGAAAGAGTCTTAGGAGAAATATATAAAAGCTGTGGTGATTGTGGCAGCTGCGTACTGTGAATAAGCCTTGCATCACTGGTCCTGAGATGGTGGTATTCAGCTCAGTTTCAGGTTGAGGATGAGGCAATGGGCACCAAGGGAAGACACTCCCAAGTAAATGAGGTCTTCCTGTGTGAGTGTTGCAAACACTGAACCACTCTCATCATTTGCAGTGACCCATTCAGTGATGGAGGTGGTAATCTGTTGGCTTGCAAGCTCCTTGGTGATGGTGGCAGCCACTTCAGCCACTGTCACAGTTAATGGGATGTGCTGCATCAGGCAAGAGTGGTGAGTGAAACACAGCATGGCTTTTTGTTCAAGGGGTGGACATACATGCTTGGTAGCTTGCTGCAGACTGTGGGCAGCAACAGTTGATTGGGTCTGGGATGGAGAGATGTTTGATGTGGGGCAAATCACTTGACAGCCACACCTAGGCGTGGAGGACACCAAGGTCATGTTCATCATGTGGGGGGGGGGATGTGTACATGAGTGGAAGAGCTCTTGCTGGGTGTAGGCACTCTGTGGGATGCTGGCAAGCTGTGGCCAGAAAGAGGCTTCATGTGTTTTGGTGGGAACATGAGAGCTAGGAAAGGGATTGAAGGGGGGGGGGCTGCTTTTCACAGGAGCACCTGTGATTATGGAGTTCCTGGGCTGTTGTTGGGGTGATGCTGTGGTGAAGGAGAGCCATTGCTGTTGTCATTGTCTTCAAGATCATCATCATCATCTGGCTGAGGGCTCCCAATGTCTCCTTCTTGCTCCAAGACCTCATGGGCCCACTGTTCCTTGTCTAGGCCAGCCTTGGTGAAAAATGAACAGCTTTAGTGAGAAATTGTGCAGAAGCAAGCAACGCAAGGGAAGGAAAGCAAGAAGAGGTGTGTGATGTAGGAATTGATGAGATTTTGATACTGGAGACCCGTCTTGAGGTTTTCTGGTAGAGCACCTCAGAAAGTACCACCCAGTACTGTGTGGGATAGAGTCTTTGGTAGTGAGGAACAAGCCTCATGATCCACTCCTTCTGGTTAGGGGTTAGCCAGGTGGTTTGTGGGGCTCCATGTTGGAGTAGCAAGCTAGCAAACAACACACAGAACCTTGACTGCAATGGATGTCTCTTTGGTCAATGGCCACACATGTGGACCATGATCAATGGCCACACATTAACTTGCAGTCATTTGAAATGAGAGGTCATTGTTTGTCAGTTTAACCTCATAGAAATGGTTTTGATAACACAAAAATGGTTTTATTTTATCAGTAACAAGACAAAATTGGGAGTATGTTGAGAAATGGCAGATTAAAATTACATCATAATGAGAGATATGATACAGTAACTGGGCCAGCAGTCAAAGTCAAATTAGTTTGGTGTGGTGTAATGAGAAAAGATTGGTATAATGTGAGGATTACTGGGGTAGCCAGTGTTCTTTATTTTATTTGTGTGGTGGCGATTTGTCATTGAGCACACACTTGATAACACATAGTGGAGGAAGCTTTTTTTGATGAATTGGGAAGTGAACAAAGGAGTTTATTTTAAAAGTTGGAAAGATTGGAAAGACAGAGTCTAGTATTATTCACTTCTATCCACATCACAACCAGAGTGGAAAGGGGAAAGTGATACAAGGTCAGGCAATTGGTTGATGTCAGAGTTGTGGTGAGGGCTTCTGTCCCTGCTCCAGCTCCTGGTCCTGCTCTTGTGGCACTTGTGACAGCTGTGCTTGTGGCAGTCACTGCTGTGTCTGTGGGCTGCTGAAATCCAGGATGTGATGTTGGATGGGTTGGAGTGAATGAGGATGCTGTTGATGCCACTTGTGATGATGTTGGTTGCACTGAAGCTCCATTGATGTGGTAGCTGAAGTTGAGATGGAAGTAGGCATGAAGTGGAGTAGCACGAAGTGGAGTGTAGTCAAGAACACTTCACAGTTCAGTGCTTGCGGCGTAGGCAGTGAGGACAAGCTGATAGAAGACATGACCTATTGGTAGGAAAGCAGGTGAGAAGAGCATGTGCCACCAAGTTACATGAGCAAAATACATACTCAGTTGATGCACTTGAGGAGCAATGTGGACCCACTTCAGGTTCCACCTCTTGATGAGGGAGGGCTTCTTGTAGGCCATGAGCTTGGGAATCTTGGCAATGTCCTGGACCAGCAGTGACTCTGGATTAGCTTTCTCCTTCTCCTCTGCCTCCTTTCAAAGCCACTCTTGCAACTCTGGGATCCAGACATTGTTTGGTGGAGATGTGCTTGAGGATGTGAAGCAGAATTGGATCAGAAATTGATTGATTGCAAAGATAGAGGGCATGGGTTCTTTGGATTTGGCATACAAATTCTTGAGGTAGGTGGCACTCTTGGGCCAACTGTTGACATTGAGGAACTTCTTCATGATGCCTGTATAGTTGTGCAGATTTTCTCATAGTTTCTTCTGTTCTGTCTTGTTGCTTCTGAGCCTCTGGCTGCATGAAATGGTGGAGTTAGTACATGTTTGGAAATATGTAATTTTTTGTTGTGTATGTGTATGTGATGAAATGTACCATTGAGCTGATGAGCTTCTTCCAGTTGATGGCTTGCTCACCTTGTGTAGTGGTCCAGAACTTGTTGGTGTGCAGGGTGTTGTGGTGCTGGAAGAAGTCCTCCCACCCATCCTTGAGAACAGCAGCCTTGTTGTGCATGTGGTTCTGGCCCCAGGTGAGGATGTGAATGTTGTCTTCCAAGACTGTGTTCTGCATATGGAGAAAGGGTATTAGTCACAGTGGGGACATCAAAAAAGTATGTCAGAAAAAGAAAAACATACATTGACAATGTCACAACACTACTTGAAAGACTTCCCAGGGAAAAGCCACTGTGCAGTCTGAATGTGATGATTGCCATCAATGATGCAGTATTCAGGCATGCCACCTTTGAGGACACACTGAGAGGGAGGCAGCTCTTGAACAAGCAGCTCCATTGTCAGAACACCCATCTTGTTCATTGACATAGAGAGAACTCTGTGTCCTCTAGCAGTCACCAACCAATGAGTGCCACTCTTCATCAGTCAATGTCAATTGTCACAGCATTCATCTTCACATGATCCACACAGAGGACACCATAACACTGGTGCAGGGCCAGGAGGCATGGAGAGCTCCTCTTATGTGGGCTAGGAGGAGATGAATTAGCAAACATTCTATTGTGTACACATACACAATAGAATGTCCTGCAGTTGTGGTGCATAATCAGCTTCACAAACAGCACCTCCTTCAGGAGCTTCAGCAGCTCCTCATCAGTGGCCATGGCAGTTGCCTCTCTGGTAGGTCTTGTTTGGGCTGTCACATCAACCTGAAGAAAGTACAGGATTGGTGAGATTTATTAAGGACTATATTTCACATGAAATCAAACACACTTACCTCTGGTGCTAAGAGCAAATCTTGTGACATAGCTGGCTCCAGTGGTGCTGTTTTTTTCAGCTTCTTGCTCTTGAGTCTGCTGAGAGTCAAGAACAATCTTCAATGATGAGAATATATCAGTTGTTCTATCACATACACATATGCAATGGCTATGGTGGTTATAACCAATTATAAGAGTCAATATTCTTGAATAGAATGGAAATATGCAGTATAATGAAACTACTGGTATTATGATGGGACAACACCATGAAATGAAAGGATAACAATTAGATTAATTGTATATTTAAATTGCTATTTCATCACATACATGTACACAATGAAATTGTATCTATTAATGCTAATAAGATTTCATTGTGTACATGACATGGTGCATACCCATTCAGTTAGTTTTGTCTTGTTCTTCTCCACCTCTGCCACACTTGCAAAGTAATTCTCTCCACTCCAGTTGCTTGACCATCCACTTGGCAAGCTTGGCTGCATTGCAGCAGGACATTACCATGGACAGAATGCCACTTGTGGACTGGGTAAGGTTGTCACTCATGTTGTAGTGTGTAGGTTGGTAAAGAATAATGACCATTGCACCCTAAAAGGACTATGCTCAACCAATGAGCTTTTTTGCAGACATTTCTTAAAAAGTGTTAGGATTCCAGAATTGATCTACAATGGAGTTATGACCAACATTGCCAGCACTCATGGCACAATCTCCTGCACTCAGCACACAGTTGAGCAGATCAAGGAAGTGCTCAAGAATGCCTGCAAGAAGTGTGAGGAGCTTGCCAACCTCACAACAACCATCATCAATGAGAACCACAAGCTCCACCAGCAGGCTAGCCATGACAAGGCAACCATCATAGCTGCATGCCAACTAATTCTGGAACTGGTGCCAGGGCTTTCCAACTACCAGCTCCACAGCTTTGACATTGATTTCAACCATGTGAAGCAAGTCAAGGAGGAATGCCTCTTTGATCAAGTTGCAGGAAAGGCAGATGGATATCAGAAGCTGCCTCCTGGCACTGTCTGCCTCCTCAGGGGGAAGTTTGCCCTGGCCCATCTCAAGCCTGGCTACCTCAGTGGTGTGTTATTTCCTTGTGCTGTGTTGCAGTAGGTACCTTGTTTTTATTTGTAGGACCCATCTGTTGCTTCATCCTCATAATTCCTTCCCAAAGCCCCTGTTCTTCCTACCTGGACAACATGCCCTGCCACATGTCCTTTTTTCATCCCCAAAACAGCAGGTGTCTTCTTCACAGTTGCATGGAGGTGTTTTTGATTTTCTTCCTGCTAGAGAACCATCCATTCCTGGCACATTCCTGGCAGATATGGGCGTTGTGTTCCCTCTGGTGCAGACCTGTGGGCGGATCAGTGGTTCTCGCGGGGTACGTAGTCGCCGCTGCATCCGCTCAGGAAGTCAAAGTCGCATCCCTCGTTGGCCTGCTGCACGCGCTTGACGTAGAGGCTCGTGTAGCCGCGCGAGCGGTCATCCGGGTTGGCCGGCGGCGTCCACTTGGCCTTGCGCGCCGCCAGCTCCTACGCGGAGCGGCGCCACAAACGAACGAAACACATTTATAGATATATATATATATTACCACGGACAGCACCATCGCCACCGGTGGGGGGGTGGTACCTTGTCGGAGACGTGGAGGTGGAGGAGACGCTGCTCGACGTCGAGTTCGATGATATCACCGTCCTGGACGAGGGCGAGGGGTCCGCCCACGGCCGCCTCTGGCGCCGTGTGGAGGACCACCGTACCGTAGGCCGTACCGCTCATCCGCGCATCGGAGATCCGCACCATGTCCGTCACCCCTATATGTATATATTTTCATATGACCACGGTCACCACCCATCACAAGCCGATTGACCGGAGGTGAGAAGAGACCAACAACAACACCAACAACACCACTACCACCATCAACAACAACAACAACAAGGGAGACACTTACCTTGGGCGAGGAGCTTCTTGGGGAGAGGCATGTTGCCCACCTCGGCCATGCCGGGATAGCCCTGCGGCCCGCAGTTCTGGAGCACCATCACCGAGTCGGGCTGGAAGGGCAGGTCCGGGTCGTCCGTCCTCCGCCTCAGGTCCTCGATCGAGTTGAACACCACCGCGGGGCCTACCACCATCCATCACCACCAACACAGAGTCAGATGTTACACTGTAATCCAACTTGTGCCGTGTGTGTTATGTGTTATGTGCTAGTTACCTTTGTGCTTCATGAGGTGGGGAGAGGCGGCCGAGGGCTTGAGCACGGCGCCGTCGGGGGCGAGGTTGCCGCGGAGGACGGCGATGCCGCCCTGCAGCTTGAAGGGCTGGTCGATGGGCGTGATGACCTCCCGGTTCCAGCACTTGGCCTCCTTCACGTTCTCGCCCATGGTGCGCCCGTTCACCGTCATGGCGTCCTGATGGATCAACCCTGCACGCGAGCCACACGCGCGACATGGCGGCACATGCTCTATGAGCTCGAGCTAAAGTGTGCGACGTGTGCGCGTGCGTGTGCGAATACCCTCGGCCTTGAAAGCGAGCTCGTGGATGACGGCGGGCAGGCCACCGGCGTAGTAGAAGTCCTCCATGAGGTACTGGCCCGAGGGGCGCAGGTTGACCAGGCACGGCACGTCACGCCCCAGCCTGTCCCAGTCGTCGAGCGCCACCACTGCGCTGCTCTCCGTCTCACCGTCCCTGAACACAGAGGCTCGTAAGGAATGTCGCACTCACGCACTCACGCACGCGCACACGACACACAACACGACGAGCGTTTACCTGGGGCGCACGCGGCGGGAGATGGACAGCAGGTGGAGCACGGCGTTGGTGGATCCGCCGATGGCCCCGTTGACGCGGATGGCGTTCTCGAAGGCCTTCTTCGTGAGGATGTCCGACGGGCGCAGGTTCTCCTTCACCATCTCCACGATCCGACGCCCTGCACCGCCAGCGCGAAGCCATCGGCAATTAATGAAAGGCAGATTATGATAACGAATAAGTAATAATACAAGAATAACAGAATCAGAATAATGTAAAGGCATATTCGGACAAACCAGTGAGGTGGGCGAGGGTGTAGCGGCGGGCGTCCACGGCTGGGATGGCGGCGGCCGCGGGGAGGGTCATGCCGAGGGCCTCGACCATGCTGGCCATCGTGGAGGCCGTGCCCATCGTCATGCAGTGCCCCGCGCTACGCGACATGCACGACTCTAGGACCACCGGGAGGGAGAATCTCGGTCAGCGGCGCACACTCACACGCACACATGGTGCGTTGTGTGTGTGTATTGTGTGTGTGTGTGTGTGTGTCAATGTTGATGTAAGGTCTGGTTGCCTGGCGAGCGTACCGGCATCCATGAAGTCCTGGAGGGAGAGCTCGCCGGCCCGCACCATGGCGTCAAACTTCCACACGTGGGTGCCCGACCCAATCTGCTGGTCCCGCCACCGGCCGTTCAGCATCGGCCCTCCTGCAATCGTGCATGCAAGCCGGTCAATGCAGCAGGTGGGGGTGGGCAGACGGAATGGTGGTGGCTGATGGTGGGGCAATTACCGGGGAGCACGATGCTGGGCACGTCGACGCTGGCGGCGCCCATGAGGAGGGCCGGGGTGGTCTTGTCGCAGCCGGTCAGCAGCACCACGCCGTCGATCGGATTGCCCCTGCGTGTGGCCACCCACCCCATCAATTCAGCTCTTTAGCCGCACCACCAAACAAACGCCTCATGATTGGGTGAAGCGACGAGGCGAACCTGATGCTCTCCTCGACGTCCATGGAAACCAGGTTGCGGTAGAGCATGGCCGTAGGGCGCAGCAGCGTCTCCCCTGCAGCCAGCGAGGCCAGAAGAAGAAGAAGAGCAACAACAACAACAACGACAACACCAACAACACCGTCAGCTGAGGCGCATAGGCCGAGCATGGGCGCTACGCCGGGGGGAGGGGCGGATGGATGAAGAGGAGCGCACCGAGGGACATGACGGGGAACTCGAGAGGGAAGCCGCCCATCTCCCACACGCCGCGCTTCACCCACTCGGCGATCTTGCGGAAGTGCGCATTGCAGGGCGTCAGCTCCGACCACGTGTTGCAGATCCCTGCGTGCGGGTGGTTGGTTGGTGCCGCCCACCATCATCACCGCCGTCAGGCGGATGTTGCTGCAGGCGGACAGAGGAATAGCGCACACGCGACCCCCAATATAGGCACGTACCGATCACGGGGCGGCCGTGGAACACATCATCCGGGATTCCCTGTTCAGGTGCAGCACCGCCCCCGCCGCCACGGCCCACACGCGTGGGTTCAGATCTGCTGCAGCTCTACCCGGTGATGGGCGAAGGCTTGTGGTGGGGGGGGGGGCTGGTAGGGCACCTGGTTCTTCATCCAGCTGCGGTGGTTGAACCCGTCCTTGTCGCGCTTCCCGAACCACTCTTCGCTACGCAGGCGGCCCCCGCCTCCCCCCTCGGCCACTGCGCAGCTCGTCGTGGGCGTGAGTGTGTGACACGTGAGAGCCCCCCCCCCCAAACATTTTTTCAAGTAGCAAGTAGAATAGGACCACCCCACTACTACTCCATGGCCTGCCTGAAGGGGGAAGGGAGGGGGTTGTACCACCGCTGCGGTGGGTGGGGCCATCCGAGGAGGACGTGGTGGACGCCAAGAGACGACTCGCAGCGGAGGCGCCCGGCAGCAGGCCCGACGCCACTGCCCTGGTCGCGCAGCGTGGGGCTGCGGGACTACTACCACTTCGAAGCCTGTGCAAGCCTCGCCACCACGCCAGGCCTCGCGTCAGCGCTTCTTTGGGGGAGGGGGGGGCTAAGGTGGCGGGTCCGTACGATACAGCCACACGACGCATGTTGCGCAGCTCTTCACTTTGGGAGGAATTACAACTTGAGCGAGGAGGCGCCGTTCCTTTTCTTTTCTTTTTCCCTCCCCACGCTAGAGCACGCACTACGTGCTGATCCAATTCAGCGTTTGGTTGCATCGCCAGAGGGCCGCGCCAGCATCCACGAGGCGTGCCACAACGTGCGCCGCTTGAGGCCATAGTTGTCATTGGTGACGTTGTTGTTGTTATTATTGTGAGAGTTCTGGTGATGGTGCCGGGGCGCCAGTGGGTACATCGGTGGTGGCGGGGCGTGGCTGGTGGTGCTCGAGGTGCCACTGTCGCGAGATCTCGTAGAGGCAGATGCCGAAGGCCACGCCCACGTTCAGGCTGTTCTTGACGCCCACGCACGGAATGGACACGATCGCCGCACATCTCTGACTCACCGCACACGCCCCCAACACACATCCGAGTGAGTAATGCACGCCGCGAATGAAACCAGCAGAGAAGACGGGGCTGAGCGTCACACACCACACACACCACACACACCACACCTTGAGCAGGTCGGCCTCGATGCCGTGCCGCTCGTTGCCCAGCAGCAGGGCGCATCCGCCCGCGCTTCGGGAGGGGAACGTGTAGGCGTAGATACTGGGCTGGCCCTCCACCGTCTCCAGCGCCACGACCGGCAGCGGCGGATTCGCAGCCGCAGCGGCGTCGGAGGCCGGGGCGGCTTCGTCGAGGCTGTAGCGGCCCGACGCGAGCATGTCCATCACGTCCGACGTGCGCTGGTGCCACTCCCACGGCACGAACTGGTGCGCGTTCATGGTCGTGCGCAGCGTCTTCTCCTGCACACCACACGCAACAGCCCCCACAACTTCACCATGAGCATATTCGTAAAGTCCGAGAGACGAAAAGTGGGAACGGATTTCGTCGTCGTCGTCGTCGTCGTACCTCGTCGGGGGTGGCGGTGTAGCCGCACAGGAAGATCTTGCGCACTCCGAAACACTCGGCCGTGCGGAAGATCGCCCCCACGTTGAATGCCGACCGCAGGTTGTCTATAGAGACCAATCATTGGGGAAAAATAGAGATGAGCCCACTGTGGTGCCAACGCACGACACACGACACACGACACACGACACACGACACACGACACACGACACGAGGAGGCGGGAGGGACCCAGGACGAGGACGAGTGGGATCTTTTGGGCGGCGGGAGTGCGCACGTCGTCCTGCCGCTGGATGAGGAACTCGTGGTCGGCCAGCCCCCGCGTGAACTTGCGCTCGATCGGCAGAAACAGGCCTGCAATCGCGCATCACGACACACGACACACGGCCAAGCTGTTTAGTGTGGTGTGCGTGTGTGTGCGTGTGTGGCGTAGACCGCGCGGCCCATTTCTATCTCTACGCGTGCGCGCAAGCGATGGCGCACCGAGGAAGTGCTTGAGGCTGAGGTGGGGGATGCTGGACTCCTTGATCTTCTGCGCGAGCCGCGCCACCTCGCGGAGGTCCGGGTCTTTGTGGTCCTCGAGCGCCTCCAGGCACCGCCGCAGCAGCATCACCCGCCCGACCACCCGCTGCCGCGCCTCCGCCGCCGTGGCGTCGTTGTCCGCGTGGGCCTGGGCCTCGGCCAGCTGGTCGGCACGCACCCACATGCGCTCGATGCGCTGGGTGAGGCCCACCAGGAACTGGAGGCACGCCGCACGGTTCTTCTTCACGCGCTCGAACGCCGCCCACTCGGCCGCCTCGTCGCCATCTTCCTGCCCGGCCTTCTTCTTTTCTTTGTCGGCGGACGATGGTGACGTTTTCGGTTGTTCTCGTCGTGCCCGCTTTTTGTGGGGCGGTGCCACCGCGACCTGAGCTGCATCATGCTCTCCATCTTCTTCCTGCATGCTTGCCTTTTCTTATATCATATTTTCTCTTTCTTTTTTTAAAGTGGTGCTTGGAGAAACGAAAAGAGAAATTCAAAAAAACAGCGACAAAACAACAAAATCGGAGGGAGATGAACGCCGGCACGCGAACCCTCGGGAACAACCTGAAGCTGCAGAAGCGGTTGGCCATGTCCATCCTCAACTGCGGCCGTTCCAAGGCGTGGCTCGACCCCGAGCGCAAGGAGCTCATTGCCAAAGCCCGAACCCGTACATCTCCAAATTCCCGCAAATCCACCCCCTTCGTGATTTTTTAGTTGCGCGTAGCGGCTGCTGCAAGTTAGTGGGTGCAACCACGTACATGGCTGGCCTTGCCCTCATCTTGTTGTGGGTGGCACGTGCAGGTGCCGAGGTGCGCACGTTGATCGAGGCCGGCGTGGTGCAGAAGAAGGAGAAGGAGTTCAAGCAGCCCATGGACCGCGACGAGAAGCTCAAGCGCAGGGTCAAGATGCGAATGGCCCGCAGGGTGATCGAGGAGGAGGGACTCGACTTCTGAAGCAGCAGCTGCCAACGCCACCACGCGAACGCGCCTGTAAAGAAAGAGAAGAGAACAAACGGACTCAAGCCTGCAACCGCACTCAATCACGCAACACAACACGCAACACAACACGCAACACAGCACACAGTGATCCCAGAGTCTCTTGAGTCGCGAGAAGGCGCGAGCCTTGATGTTATTTGAGGTGGGTGCGCCTCTTGGGCGGCGCCGCAGCGGCAGCGGCGGTGGCCGGGATGGAGTCGAACCGCCAGAGGTCGACCTCCACGTCGACGCTCTCGCGCTTGTGGAAGCGGTACATCTGCGGGATGTCGAATCGCAGCTGCGCCACCACCTCCGCCTTCACGCCCCACTGCCGCTCGGCCTTGCGCGCGATGTGGGCGCGCGTCGAGCTCTTGTGCAGCGAATACACCGACACCTCCGCCACCTGCCGCACCCGTGTGAGCAACCACATATGGCACCGCAGTGTGTCTTGTGTGTGCTGTGTGTGCTGTGTGCATGCAGAATCGGGAGAGCCGAGTGACGTACGTGCAGGGCCTTTTCGAGAAAGACCATGTCGATGCCCTTGATCTTGGTGCCGAAGGGCGGGTTCATGATGACGGTGTCCACCTTGTGTGCAAACTGGGAGGGCAGCAGCTCCGCCACGTTGCAGCGCACGAACTCCATCTGGTCCTCGAGCTCGAACTCCCGAGCGTTCTCCTGGGCGACCTCGAGGGCATCGTCGTCGATGTCCAGCCCGATCGTGTACCTGCCCCCCCATCACCGTGAGCGGGCGGAGCCGCGCGCACGTGACACGACACGACACGACGGCGTCGGGAGAGGAGAGCGCACCCGCTGCCCATGAGCTGGGCGGCGATGGAGAGCATGCCGCACCCGCAGCCCAGGTCGGCGATGCAGCGGCCCTCTATTTCGTCGTAGGCGTTGGCGATGGTGTACAGCATGTGCGCCCTGCACCGCCACCAGGACAGGAGAAAAGAAGACACAGACAAGTGTGACTGTGTCGGCCCCCATCTCCCGTCTTTTCAACTCCACACCGATTATTATTATTTTTGGATTAAACAGGTTGTGAAGGAAGTACGCGATGTGAGGGCTGGTGGGGTATTGCTCGAGCTTCACCTTGGGCTTGGGGAAGGCCTCCACATCGTCGAGCAGCTCCTCCAGCTTACGCAGCTTCATCTTGCATACGGGTTCTTTGTCCGCCAAAAGAAAGAAAAAGAAAAGAAAATAGGTTTTATTTCTGCCAGCTCAAGCAGGCACGAGAGGGTAGCGCTCGCGGAGGAGGGCGAAGAGCGGCCCGTACTCGCCCTTCTCCACAGCCACCAGGGATTCGTCGCCGCTGTCGAGCTGCGCCTCGAATTCATCCCATCCCACCCACTTGGCATCTGGTCGTGTGTGTCGTGTGTGTCGTGTCGTGTGTTGCAGGTGGTTGGGTGAGCCCGTGGGCAGTAGTGAGGCACACAACAACAACAACATCGCCATCGGCATCGTCATCGTCGTCATCATCAAATACAAAACAACAACAACAAAACACGCACGCACGCACGCACGCACAAGCGAGGAGGGGGCCGTGGCGCAATGCGTACCGGTGACCTCTTCCGGCTGCAGGACAAGAGAGGAGACAGACACATCAGTCTCGTAGAGGTATCTGTATATTGCCACGACAGCAAGACGAAGAGGATTACATATTATTATTATATTAGTAGTAGTATTATGCTCATGGCCATCAAGGATACGCGGCGGCTTGTTGGTGAAGGGGGGCGTACATGTCCTGGAGCTCGTTGTCAAAGTAGGTGCCTGCCATTGCCACGCGCGCCCGGGTCAATCCCCCGCGATCACTGGCGTGTGGGGGGGGGGCCACCACGTACCGTTCATGTACACTCCCGAAGCCGGGGCGGTGAAGAGAAACTGGAGCTTCTCGGGCTGCGCCGTGATGCCCAACTCCTCGTGGAGCTCCTTCAACGCTGCGCCGCGAGGATCGACCACGACACGACACGCGCGCGTTTGTACAGCCATGTGATTTAATAAATCGCATGTAGGGGCAGTGGTACATTAGCGCCGTGCGGGAGAGTCTGCGCTGTCGCCCTGGGGCAGCAGAGAAAGCGCAGGAAACAGAGAGGCTTGCGTAAGGGCGGGAGCGCATACCGCCCTGGAGGCTGGTTTCGCCCGCTTCGATGTGGCCCGCGCACGAGATGTCCCACCTGCACATGCGACAACAAGTAGCACATGACACACACACACACCACACACACCACACACACCACGCACGACACACAACAGTGGTCTGCATCAGGCACGCACGCGGGCAACAGTGGGGCGGAGTAAGTACTTGTCCGGGTTGGTGCACTTGTCGGCGGAGCGCCGTTGGAGCAGCACCCGACGCGTGGCGGGGTCCACACACCAGACATGCACTGCTCGAGCAGCCAAAGCGAGGGGTGAGCACACACAAGGGCGCCGCCCGCGAGAAGAAACTCCGTAATTTAGGTGGGTGGGGGGGTAAACCAATCTTGTGCCACAGGCCCTGCTCGTGGATGACCTTTCGGGTTTTGATCTCGCCGGTGGGGCGTCCGTCCTGCGTCCACACCTCCAGGAGCTCCTCGTGCTTGTCCGCGCACATGGTGTCGCCTCGTTGAAGAGAAGTAAAAGAAATAAAAGAAAATTCAAGTTTCACGCACCGCCTGTGGTGGAATGAGCGGTTTATTCAAGCGTGGGCGAAGGGGTGGCGTAGGGCTGGAGGGTACTACGCCTTCAGCACTTCTTCCAGATCTGGTAGGAGGCGAGACCGGCCTCCACCACACCCGCGAGTCCCACCACGCCCGCGCTCTTGATGGGGTTGATCTCCACCAGTGACGTCGAGATCTGCAGGTTGGCCACCTCCCTGATCATCGCGTACTCCAGTTCCCGCTGCTCCTTCTTCAGCTGCGCCAGCTCGGTCTAACACACACGACACACACACACACACACACGACACACACACACACACACACACGACACACACACACGACACACACACGTGTGAGAAAACGAGAGCTCCGCTCCGCGTGCGGCCAAGGTGGTCTGGTAGTCTACCTGGCTGCTGCTGGCGAGGGCCTTCTGTTGGCGCCTGCTGTTCTCACGGTACTTGACGACGTCGAGGACGAGGGCGAACAGAAGGCCCACGGTCCACGCCCAGAAGGAGAGCTTGCCCCACTTCTTCTCGTCGCCTGCACAGACGCGCCCACACCCCCGCCCAACCAATCACAGTCCACAGTGAGTAGGCTCCAGGTTGGCCTCCAGCAATCGACACCCGGTGTGTGGTGTGCGTGTGTGCCGAGAAGGAGAGAGAGAGATACCGGAGACGATGTTGAACTTCATGGCCCACGACAGGTTGTTGAAGAAGAAGTAGCCGGCCATGCCCAGCGTCTTCAGGAGGTTCGCCACAAGCAGCATCGGCCTCGCTTCCCTGCAAAGTGCAAAGAAGAAAGAGGTGCATCACAGTAGTGATGGCGGTGAGGGCACTATCAACCTGGTGCATGTCGTCCACCACAGGCAGGCACGCGTACCGAATGGTGCCGAGCTTCTCTATTTCGCTCAGGAACTTGAACAGCCGCAGCAACCTGACGTGAGGAGACAATGGTCAGAGGTGGCGCAGATGGAACAGAATCGGATGTTTTTTGCGTGTACGTAAAAACAAAACGCAATCTAATTTGTGGATAAAGAGATGAGTGTTATACTTGCGGCCATCCGACATGACTGAGTCGATGTTGCTCCAATATTTCGCCCACTGGGCGTTGTTGGCCGTGTTGAGGCAGAACCAGGAGAGGAATCGTGCTCCGTAGTGGAAGAATTTGTAGAGCTTGTCCCGTCCATCCGTCGCCGCCAAAAACTTGCATGACTTGCTTAACGACATGGCAATCTAGCAATACGTTGAACAGTCTCTCTTCCCCTCTCCTTACTCTTGAACGTTCAACCTCGCAGAAACGCTCTCTGTTGAGCGGAGGTTGCGTTTGAGTCCCCCCCTGGGAACTGTGGTGTTCATTTTCCCACCCCTTTTCCTTGTCTATTTTCTCCAATACAATCTGGGGGGTAGCGGGAAGGAGGACGCCCAAGCGAGAGCTCTCGCGCACACTACCCGTTGCTTCACCAAAAGCTGCAAAAGAGGGCCAAAGACCGAAGCAGCCACGCGGCCGGAGGCGTGATCGCTTCAAGCCTGTTGGGTACTTGCGCCTTGCCGCGCCCGGACAGCCTCTGCAAGGCCAACTGGCGGAAATTTGGAGGCAATTAAGGATGTCAGCTTGCGTGGACCAATGGGATAGCCGCAACTGGGGAGATGCGGGAGAGGTCGTACGGAGTAGGCGTGCGAGGAAGGGAAAATCGGAGGCACATCGCAGCCCTGCTCGCGGGAGGTGAGCCCTCCGACTCCCATCTGTCGTCACCGTCACTCACACGCTCGTGGCGCCCTTCTACCTCGGGTCCGTTGTCCTTCGAACCGAAGCCGGATCCCTCCGCCGCACTTGTCGCACTTGTTTGTCTCGAGACGCCTCTTGTTCGCCACGCTTGCACCATCCCTCCTTCTCTCGCTTTCTTCTCCCCCTCTTGTTGTTGGGTGATCAAGGGAAGAGAGAGAAAGACCAAAAAGCGAAGAAGGACTGCTGGCACCACTACGACTCTGGAGGCCGAGCACGAAACCATCCCATCCCATCCCACCCCATCATGGCACAGCACGTGAAGCTCGAGGAAGAGGGCGTGGTGTACCACCACCACCAGCAGCAGCCCAAGCAGCCGCCGCAGTACACGGGACGACGCAACAGCGCGCTGGCGGTGGCGCGGCGTGCTTCGATGGCCGACGTGCTGGCCAACAACGCCCGACGGTCGGGCTCGCTGGGCGACGTGCTCCTCAACGCGTCCAACTCGGCCGCCTCGTCGCTGCAGCTCTACCTCCACTCCCTCATCCAGCGCAACCCTTCGTCTTCGTCTTCGTCCTCGTCTGACTCGCACGAGCTCACTGACCACTCTGACGAGCACGTGGCGTCCTCCACGTCGACTAAGAAAAGCAGCAAGAGAAAGAGGAAGGAGGCCAAGGAGGCCAAGCGCGCACGCAAGAGCAAGGCCTCCTCATCTTCTCCAGATGGCGACCCCGCATCTTCATCCTCATCCTCATCCTCATCGAAGAAAAAGCGCAGGGGGTCCATGCCCGCCTCCGCCATGCCGCACCTTGGAAACTCGGGTTCAGGTGTAGCGGTGGCAAGTCGCAGCAGCTCGGCATCAATCGGTAGCGAGTCGATGTGCGAGGGCCTTCTACTCGACGGCTCGCCAGCTGCCCCACCTTCGGTGCTCTCCCCTTCCTCCTACCCCTCGGCCTCTTCGTCTCCCTCTACGACTGCCCAGCCGCACCTGCCGCCTTCACATCTCCACAATGCCAACCCCAATCCTCATCTTCAGCACGGCCACCACAATCTGCCTCACCAGCAGCCGCCAGTCTCGGGCGTGTTCACGAGCTTCGACGAGTGCTTCGACGCCGACCTCGCCATCCTCTCCACCCTCTCCGCCGACGAGGTGGAGCTCTCCCCGACGCCCCTCTCCTCGTCGTCGCCGCTGCCCCCGACCCCGATCGGCGCCCAGACCGCTTCCGTGCCCGCCGCGGCCCAGCCCTACCGACCAGCCGCCCTCCTCGACCACCCACAGCAGCAGCAGCAGCAACTGGTGTACCCGCAGCATCAGCAGCAACAGCATCAGCACGTCATGATGGGTCCGCCTGTCCAGCCCGCCTTGCAAGCGCAGGTGCAGATGCACGTGCAGCAGGCGGCCTCCTTCTCCCACGGCTATCCCCAGCAGCACCATAATCAGCCCTACCACCACCACCAGCAGCAGCCCTATCACCATCATCAGCTGTACCAGCAGCACCCGCCGCCGTATGGCCACCATCAGCAGCAGGCGTACCCGTCGCCCCAGCCGTCGCCGTCGCTGCCGGAGGACTGGTCGGGCCTCTCGCCGCTGTTCCCGTCGCAGCAGGAGGCCTCCGCCTCCTCCTCCCCGTGGCAGCCCCGATCGCCCGCCCTCTCCATGCACGAGCAGGTGGAGCGCCTCCTGTGCCCGTCCTTCCCCGCCTCCCCGTTCAGCGCCCAGCCCCCGGCCTCGCCCGCTTCGACCCACCACCAGCAGCCGCAGCAGCAGCACGCGTTCCTGCGACCACCCGATGTCGTCCCGCGCACGTCGCACCCCAGCGTGCCGAGCCCCTCCGCCTCAACAGCGACCGATGACGGGATGCTGATGATCCCGGCGGCCAGCCCCATGTCCAGCTTCTTCGACTGGGCCGACGAGCTCCTGGCCTTCGACCCCAGCAAGGGCCCCACCACCCCCACCATGTAATCTATCTTTTCAACTACCCTCACACACACCCACACAAACCGTAAAAACATTCATTGCGATTAGGTCGATCCACATCTTGTCCCACATATGGTTGGCGCGTTTTATGTACACGTGGGGGCGTTGCCCGGAAACACAGGGGATCACGAATTGCCAATGCCTGATTGGTGGGCGGAGATCCCTTCTCTAAGGGGGCTCGATGCCTTGTCCTCGTCTGCTTGATCATGGTGGTCCTGGTGGTCGGCGTCATCGGTGGTGGACAGCTTGAGGTACTCCTCCTCTCCGCTGTCGATCCAGAGGAGCGGCAGCCTCGCGGCGACAGCGTCGGCGTAGTTGGCGTGGGCTGCGACGGCCAGCCACGCGGAAAAGAGGGCGAACGAGACCAGGAGCACCATCGCCATCCGGCCCAGCATCAGATGGACGGACCCTCGCCTGGGCGGTGCGCCAACCAAGACCCGATATGTTAGCAAACGCTAATTCCTCGGTTTAGGTGAAGGTGAGCACACGTACAGCAGCTCGCCACACATCGCAGACTTGACCTGGTCGAACGGGGTCCTGGCAATGCTGCAGTTGGTCAACCTTCGCACCGACTCGAGTCGGCTCTCGCCGTCCACTAGAGCCGTCATCAGCTCCGTCGTGATGTTCTGCGCAGGCAAAAGGTCATCTTTCACACATCCTCACGTTGGAGACTCTGCACCACTAGTGGCGGCGGTGGTGAACCTTGGCCGAGGGCACGACGAGCGTGTAGTTCATCCCATGATTGAGCTCGGTGGTGGCCTTGTGCAGCTCTTGGCTGGCGTAGTCGAGAGAAGGGACGAGCAGGTTTTCGCCCTTGCACTGGAGGTAGTAGTGGACGGTGCTCTCCAGGGGCAAGGACGCATGCTCGCGGAGGAGGGACACGACAGAGTCCTCGGGCGCCGCGCACCAGTCGGCAATCGCCACGGACGCCGGCAGGTAGAGTCCCATCTCGAGGCTGCACCACAGGGCGGCCACCAACAACAAGACGATGACCCTGCGTGTGCGGAGAACCTTCAAGGTCAATCGAGAGTGAAGCTCCAGAAATATGGGCCACTCCGTCCTACGTACAGCCAGAGAACACGCGGAAAGATGAAGGTGGCGCTCCCCAGGAGAAAGGCCATCAGGAGGAGCACGTAGGTTGAGTGAGCGTAGAACCACCTGCAGACCAGTTGTCCCGGTGAGTGAGTGAGTGAGCGATGAGCCACTTGGCGTGTGCCAAGCGGGTTGAAAGGGAGCCGTGGGTACCAGAGGTCGGAGTGGCTGTCCATGAATTGGCGAATCTGGCTGAACTGAACGGAGTACCGTGCCCAGTGGGCAGTAACGTTGCCCAGGCCATCCCTGAGTTTGGTGTGGAGCTGGTGCCACCGGACGAGGAGAGAGTTGACGTCGGCACTCTTGACATGGGCCATCTTGCGCTGATAGGCTCCAAACTGTTTGTCGACAAGGTTCTCCTTCATTCGGTCGATGGCAGCTCGGTCCGCGAGGAATGCAATGCCGCTCTTGAGCTTCCTCGCTTCGACCAACCCCCTCGGGGTGAGCTTCTGGTCCAGGACCTGCAATAGGTCGCGTAGGGCGTTCGCCACCTCCGGAGTGGAGTAATCCGACGAGGAGAGCGCCTGGATGAGGGCATCTACAGGCCCGATGGCCTCGAGCGCTTCATCCGCTCGCAGGTACTTCTAAACGTGATCGAGATAGCCGTCAGACGTGCTCCAGTGCGAGATTGGGCTCCAACGGGATGTACCTGGTCGATGATTTGGGCTTGGTGCACAACGCCAGAGGGGTAGTGGCTTCGTTCGGCCACGACGGCGTTCACGAGCTGACGCAGCTTGGCCAAGATGATCGGCTGTACTTCCCTTTCCTTGGAGTCGAGCCAGTGCAAGAGGTCCCTGTCGAACCTTGCATCTGGAGTGGAAGCGTTAGCTGACTGAGACCACTGCACGACCAATCACCTGGAAAAATAGCTTACCGGAGAGGAGAGCGGACTCGAGGCTCATGAAGAAGAACAGTCCGAACTGCAGCCCGCCGATGGCCTGCACGTTGATCACCCCTTGTAGAGCAGAGATCTCCTGATTTAACTGTAGGCAAGGAAGAGGAACGGAAAAGTGAGTTTCACCTGCACTGATGTGGAGAGAGACCTTTGGGCGGAGCTAAACGCACTGAAGTGAGTGGAGCTTGAATCGGGGAGAGCAGAAGGGTGTCCAGTGAATGCAGCTGATTGCGAAGGCTGGGGAAGAGTTGAGGCATGTCCCGAATCACGCTCCTGCCGGTCAGACGCCCCAGTTGCCGATCGAGCTCTACGTGTGCGAGCGAAGGGTGTGAGAAGGGGCTGATGCCACTCGGGTCGGGGAGAATAGAGGGGCGGTGCACCTCGAGCATGGGGGTAGCGGCGGAGGACGTCGAGCAACTGGTCTACACTGCGGTGCAGGGCATCGACCTGGGGCTCGAGGGAGAGTGCAAGGTCGCGCAGGAAGAGCACCCGGGGGTAGGCTGCTTCACTGTCCGCCAGCAGAGCCTGGGCGGTGTCCAGCGCGTGGCCCACCTCCTCTGCACCCGAGCAAACCGCGCCCAACACAGAGATGAGATGTGTTGGGGCAGTGGGGGAAGCAGCAAGACCACGTACTGCTCAGGTTGTGGAGGGGTTGAAAGGAGTGGCCGATGTCATGGCCCAACCGGACGGAGGCAGTAGCAAGATTAACCCCTACGAACCTGGGGTCGGGACATCCTGATGAGTTGAGCTCTCTGGGCATGAGATGAAGAAGAGAAGAGTGGAACGTACAAGGCGACTCCCGTGAAGGCCAACATAGCGGTGGCAGCAACCCACAAGCACGTCCGCCACTGGCGATGCGGCCTCTTGGTGCTTCTGGGCTTCCTTCTGTTTCTATCGGCCGCTACGCGCAGCAGGCCCGCCGCTACGCACGAGAAGCACCCGCCGCAGCTAAGCACCAGCAAACACCCGGCGATTGCAGCGATGGTCAGCAGGAGCAGGGCCTGCACCCAGCAACTGATGGTAAGCGATGGCATGACCATTACCACGAAGCACCAAATGCGTTACCTGTTGGTAGTCGGGGTGGGTGGGTCGGAAGTCGGGCGGTACGGGCTCGAGGTCCGCCGAGTAGCGCGGCACCGCTTCACGAAGGGAGGAGGCGAGCGTGAAGCTCCATTGATGGGAAGATGGTGGAGCAGCACCCGTCCCAGCTGTTGTGTAGCCTGTCGAGTGCTGTTGTTAGGCTTGTGGAGAGTAGCATCTGATAGGGGCATCGCCGGTACCGAGTAGCGCCACTACACAGGCCAGGGCTAGCCAGGACCCTGCTGACGCCGACATTGCTGCTGCCCCTTCTTGGATAGTGCAAGCACGACGCTAGTGTCGATAGTGAAGAGGGTTGCTCTCTTTATCTTTCACCTTTCGTGTTGGAAGCTGTATGTGGGCACTAGCGTCCGCCTACAACAAACGCTTCACGGTGGCCAGTCAAGATTCGCCTTTCTTCAAGAAAGGAAAGTTGTAGAAGGGGGGGGGGCACGGTGAGAGGTGAGTGGTGCCCCCGTCCCTTGGCGACAGCCGCACGAAAACTCGGTGACCACCTCCCCCGTACCGGCACGTTACCCTGTGCTCACCGGCCATGTTCGCCAACTTGTTCGTGAGTGGTCTCCAACAACACAGGCCACCGCGAACACAAGCAACCAGGAACTTGTACGTTGATGCGTGGACATTCCGCGTGGATCGTGAGCGTAAGGTGTAATAAAATGAATATATATCTTTACAATTCGCGTCCTGGCCTGACCCTCTTCGTTCTTCGTTCTTCGTTCTTCTCCTCGTGGGGGGACCTGAGCCCACGTGGGGCTAAGACGACGGACCCAGGCGACCGCTGCGGGTGAGGAGGGAGGACGGGGTGGTGGGTGCCGACGAGGCCCGCTTGCGCCGCTGGAGCTTCTTCTCGGCCCGGCGGATGCGGGCCTCGAGCTTCCGGAGCTTGGCTCGCTCCCGCTCGATGGCCTCCTCGACCCGCCGCAGCTGCTCCTCGCGGACCACCCGCCGCACCTCCTCCTCCTGCCCGGCAAAGTCCTCCGCCTCCGCCCCGTGGCCTTCGGCGTAGCCCGCGCAGAAGTCTTCAGCGCCGCCTTCGCCCGTCTGGCCCTTCTTGATGTTCTCCGCCATCTTCAACAGCTGACTCAGCACCGCGTCATTGCCACCCATCTGCACACGACTCGACACGACACGCGCACGCACACCAATCATCATCATCAGCATCAGTATCATTGGCGTCGGCGTCGAGCAGGCGAAGAAAATACGGACCTCGCCGGAGTGGAAGGTGCGCCGCTCCCATCGGCCGACCTGCACGCGGGCCGGGCTGGAGGCCAGCCGCTTGCGGCCGGCCGTGAGCGGACCCGACTCGACCTCGTCGGAGACAGCCCGGTCCATGTTGGTGGCGCGGTGCGGAAACGAGCCCAGCAGCAGCGGGTTCACCCCGCGCCGGGCCGACAGCGGCAGCCGCAGGCTCCCGTGCTCCGTGGGCGGCGGCGATGACGGGCCGGCAGTGGCAGTGGCGGCGGTGGTCGAGTGCACGTCCTCGCGGGACCCGAGCCGCATGCTCATCCGCACGCGGTGCCCCAGTCCGCGCTTCTCCCCGGCGGCGCCGGACGACGCCTTCTTGGCCTTGTCGCTACTGCCGCTGCTGCTACTGCCGATGATGATGGTGCTGCCTGCTCCCTCGGCGCCGCCGTCTTCGCATTCGCTGCCGCTGCTGCACGCGCTCTCGGTCCCGACGTCGGTGCTCTCCCGCCGCACGATCCGGCTCCTCCTCTTCTCCTTCTTCTCCTTCTTGGCCTCCTTCTTGCTCTCCCTCTTGGCGCTCTTTTTCTCTTTCTTTTCCTTTTTCTCTTTCTCTTTCTCTTTCTTTGTCGCGTCCGATGTAGAGCTGCTCGTACTGGTGCTGCTGCAGGCGTCGTGTAGCAGGTCGGCATGGGTGCGTCCCTTCGAGAGCCGTGGCGTACGCGACGTGCCCGCCTTCTTCTCCTTTTCCTTCTTGCTCTCCTTCGTTTCGTTTGGTCGCGCATCGATTCCGCCGTCGTCGATGCCGAGTAGACGGTACCGCTTCTGAAACTCCTCCCACTCCTCGGCACCCCCGCCCCCCGCCGGGCTGCTCGCGAGGAGGGCGGCCCCGGGCGAGGGCGCGCCGGGCGAGGAGCCCATCACCACCGCACACGACGCCGCCCGCTTGTGCTTGCGCGCTCCGAACAGGGAAAACTTGCCACGTGACGCGGTCTCGGCCGACGGAGCTAAGAGAGATGACGGAGGGGAGGCGGAAGTAGATGATGATGATGAAGTCGATGTGGAGGGCGGCATCTTGAGCTTTATGAGATCCACGTTATCGCTCCGTTTTCTCGTTGCGATTGATGAGGAGGGCGACGAGGGGGTCCGCCCCTGGTAGATTGCCTCCGTCATAGCCCCAACTCTTTTACCTGCTCTTATCCTCCCTCTCCAATATATATATATATGCGTCCAAAATATATGGGCCAAATATATATTGCCTCCCCTCTCCTTCAGTCGCCTCCTCTTCAATCCAAACTAACGGCGCTGTGTCCGTTGCTGCCCTCCCGCGGTTGTCTGCTCCCAATTAATTTACGCAAAATGGGATCGCGTTCGTTCTGCACAGAGCAACTGACAAAGAAAAGGAAGGAAAAGAAGAGAGCAAAAGATAAAAGCAAAAGATAATCAAGAGGCGACAAGAAGATGGGGAGCATTGGGGCGGTACTGGCGGAGAGCTCAGGCCTTGTGGTGGCCTTCGACACAACCGCGAGCAGCGGGTGCCCCATGGTGGCTCACCTCCTCGGCAAGTGGCGTCGGCATTCCCGCAGCCACACGTACCGCTACTCGCTTTTACATAATCCACAAAAACACTGGCGTTTTAATCGCTTCACGCATTCAATGGCGCGTGCACAGCGTTGTGTGCGTGCTGGCCTTCGACTGCCCGCCCGGCGGCTGGCTCGCACCTCCCGCCGTCGCGTTTGCAGGAGGCATCGAAAAGGAGGTGTGGGTGGACTGCTACTCCGACCCCCTGGGCTGGGACGACGACTGCGCGGCCGCCGCAACCAAGCACAAGGGGCCATCAACCTACCTCGCCAGGGATCCCGGTACTCCCCATTCCCGCTCGCCCTGCACGCACGCACGTCGGGCTTACATGCGTGCGCCTGCCTCTCAGACAGCATCACCGCCGCGGTGCGCCAGGCCAAGAAGGACGGTACGCCTCTGCTCGAGCCATGTTGTGTGTTGTGTGTTGTGTGTTGTGTGTGTGTGCTGACCTGCCTTGCGGGAGGTAGTGAATGATAGTGACGCGTGGCTGGTGGTGATCGACTCGGTGTCGAGCATGCTGCTGCGCTTCGGCACGGCCCGCGCGTTCCAGCTGTTGGGCGAGCTGCGCGCCATCTTCGGTGTCGATAACCACCCGGCCGAACGCTCGAGCTCGAGCTCAGGCGCGAGCAGCACCATGCTCGCACGTACCTAACGGCCCCTCCTCTCTCCCGGCTCTGAATAGCGCTGACGCCGTACCATTCACGCACGCGCCGTACACACCGCACACGCACAGTGGCGCACGCGGACGTGCACGACGCATGGACTGTGGGCTGTCTGGAGCAGATGGCCACGACGGTCCTGCGATTCCAGCCGGTCGATCCGCCCGGCTCCGAGCAGCAGCGCGAGTGCGAGATCCTCAACAAGCGACCATCGGGCCGGATCACGCTCGAAGTAACACACACGACATACACACACACACACGATACCCAAAACGCACACACACCGCCACTGTTCGCCCGTCTTGCGCTGCTGACCCAGATTTGTTTTATCCGCAGACCCAGCTGTTCACGGTCGATGAGGCGGGCGAGGTGAGCCTCACCAAGGTGGTCAAGGCCAAGAAGACGGCCACCACCACCACCGCCACCACCGCCATCACCGGAGGGAGTCAGCAGCCAGTGACTACCGCTGCCGTAGCACAAACCGCCGCCGAAAAGGTACTCTTTGCCCCCCTCTCTCTCTCGTGCGCGCATGGTCATGGGCACTCACGTTACGCTTGATGACGCCCTAGTCGCCCATCGACCCGGCGGCCGGGCTCACATTTTCGCTGACGCGCACGGAGCAGCAGGAGCAGGACCGCCAGGCCTTGATCCTGCCCCACGGTACATGTGGACCACGCCACAACACAACACACGCCGAGCTTTTCCTGGTCGACTTACGCGCGTGTTGTTTTGTCTCTCCGCATGCTGTGCACACAGACCAGCGAGCTGCTGGCGCTGTGCAGATCAATCTCGACGACTTCGCTGACGACGACGACGATGACGAAGGTGACGATGACGACCCCGACGGCGATCTCGACACTTGAACTCACCTTTTGGCCTCCCCTCTTTTTTTTTTGAACCGGTGTTGGGAAATGAAATGTTTACGCGGGAGCTCAAATTTTCGTTTCAACCTCTGACCGGACATACCGCAGGAGGCCAAGTTGCCAGTTCGCCAACTGAGCAGCACCACAACAATGATGACAAACAGCAGCTGGCGCTCTTTTTTCCTCCTCGTCCTCCTCTTGGTCGGCGTAAGCAGCGTCTACTACCTCACCTTCCTCGCCGGTACGCCGCCCAACACCCCCTTTCGGAGTTCAAAACCACCGCAACCCCCCCCTTGGCGCCTCACCGACCAACCGCGCAGAGCACTGGTCGAACGAGGGCCACACGACAGACACCGACCGACCACACGACGACGGCGGTGACACTGGCGGTGCTCGTGACGACGACGGCGGTGGCGGTGACGGTGACGGTGACGGTGGCGGGGGCGGTGATGGTGGCGACAAGAAGGACAGTGGTGGCGGTGGTGGTGGTGCCAAGGAGGACCGCAAGGAGTTCGGGCCGGAAGGCCTCGAGGTCGACGAGAAGGCCGAGTGCCGGTCGGGTTACCGCCGGCACGACATCAAGACCGACCAGAGCGGCCTCCTGCTCCACTGCTCGCGCCCCCGTGTCAAGGTACTCGTACCGCCTTGCCACCCCATCGTGTGCGACTACCACGACACGACACGACACGCAACACGCGGCACACGACACGCAGCACGCAGCACGCAGCACGCAACACGTGGCGTCACATGACACGCGACGTGCAGGTGCTCACGTCGTGCTACCCGCCGGCGGGCCACAAGGACATGAGCATCAAGAACAAGATGCTGTACGCCAAAATGCAGCAGTACGACTTTGAGTGGTGGGTGTGGAACTACGAGGCCCCGAAGGGCAAAGTGTGGCGCGGAGGCATCTGGACCAAGGCCGTCCTCCTCCTCGACGCCCTCGACGCCCTCGGCAACGCAACGGTCCACCCCCTTTTCATTTTATTCTGCTCAACAATTACAAATTTTTTGCATTTTTTATTTAGATTTAAACTAGAGATTTTATTAATAATTGATTAACTGGCAGGAAGGGGAGCCGTTCAAGTGCGACTACGATTGGCTGCTCTGGATGGACTGCGACAGCCTCGTCGCCAGGTTCGACTTCACCATCGAGCACATCGTGGGCGAGCACTTGCACGATCTGAACAAGCACATCATCATCACCAGAGGTGAGAGAGGCCCCACCTTGACACCCTCCCTGCTCCTTTGTTGTTCATCGTCGTCATGACCCCTACTCACCATCATTGCCAGACCTCAATGGAATCAATTCGGGCGTGATGGCCCTGCGGTGCACCGAGTGGAACCGTGCCCTGTGGCGCCGCGTCTGGAAGGCCGAGCAGTACATCAGCGACCCGTGGGCCGAGCAGCGCGCCCTCGTCGAATTCTACAAAGTTGAACCCGAGGTATGCACCACACACACACACAACATAACGACGCACACAGCGACGTGTGACACTATGTGTGTAACCCGGGATTTGGGGGGTGGGCGACAGCTGCGAGCGCGGGTGGGCGAGGTGCCGCCCGAGCATCTGCAGTACCTGCTGATGGCGCCGCTCAAGCGGGTGGACGCCAAGGGCCAGATGGACTTCTTCACGATCCACTTCGCCGGCTTCTGGGACTCCAAGGACGAGAAGATGGCCGAGTTCTACCCCAAGGTCATGCTCAACGCCGGTTGGCTCAACCCTCCCCTGCAAAAGTAACAATATTCATAATATAAAATATTTAAATATTTAAATATTATTTATTATTTATTTATAAATCGGGCGTTCGTGTGCTCACTTGTGGCGGCCGGTGAAGTGGTCGTCGCGCCACTTGCCCGGGCCCAGCCCCTGCCAGTCGGGCGGAGCGTCCGGGGTCTCCTCCTGGCAGGCCCAGTAGGCGTTGCCCCGGTCCAGCTTGACCAGGAGGTTGCGCGAGGCGTCGAACAGGACCACGCACGCCCCCTCCTCCCTGTGCTCCACCTGTTCCATTCCATTCCATTGCAACACCACATGCACCGATCGCACCGCAATCAGCGCCGGAACGAACGCGAAGGGGGGGAATTTTGGGGGTGAGGGGGCGCATGCCTCTACGAAGCGGCAAAAGACTTCGGCGTCGTGCACCTCGATCCATTCGTTGGAGGCGTCCGGCCGGTCGCACTTCTCGAAGAACTCCCCGCAGTCCTCCTTCTCCCACCGCACATGTGTAGAACTGTGCGTGTGCGAAACACGACACACATGACACACACGACACGCAGCACACATGAGTCGACCCAGGAAGCGTGTAGTGGGCGGGGCTGCGGGGCCGGGCTGGCTACCGTATGTGCTGGGCGGGGCGGAAGGTGGGGATGACCTGCAGCCGCACGCCCGGCTCGAACCGGTGGGCGGCGCGCTGCGGGCGGCGAGGCGGCCGCGACGGGTCGTCGGCCAGGAGGCGGGCCAGCGCCGACGAGAGGCAAGCCGGCTTGAAGTAGGGCGACCGGGCGAGCTTCGCGATGCTCTCAGGGTGCCAGTGCGCCCCGCCCTCGTCCCGCTTGAGAATGGGCCTCACCTGACCACCACGTGAGAGATGGCAGCCCGCAGCCGTGCGCGCGTGTGCGCGCATGTGCGTGTCTGTGTGTGTGTGTGCGCGCGCGCGTGTGCGTGTGCGGTGCGAGTCTCGTTCGTGCCGTGCAGCGGGGCTCCTCGATCATGGCCCAGCGGTTGAAGTTGTCGAAGCCGCGGAGCATTATCCTGTGAAGGAGCATGGGTGGATATGATGTGTTGTGGCGTCATGACTCACAAACACAATGGCACCCACCCCAGTCCGATCCCCCTAACCCAACCTGACCCGCCCTGCCCCACACACACGACACACACGACACACACGACACAACACACACCGACACACCGACACACTCACACACACGAGATCCGAGATCAGCTCAGCGGTGTACCCGTGGGCCGTGTGGTCGAGCCCAAAGCAGTGGCCGATTTCGTGGAGGGTGGCGCCCAGGGTGGTAGCAAAATTGGCCCACATGGTGCCTGTGTGAAACACGACACACGCAGGACACACTCGTCAATGACGTCCTCAGGCACGCACGCACCCGCACACGCACCACCGCACACGCACACGACACAGACAGTTGGCCATCGGAGGTGTACCTCGTCCGCCGCTGTCGTCAAAGCAGCGGGTCTTGTCGACGGCGGTGGCGTCCATCCAGCAGCGGCGCACCTCGTCGAGGGTGCGGGGCCACGAGTAGAGGCCGCCGGAGCCAAACAGCGCCATCGGCCCGCCCCCGAGGGCCGTGTGGGCGTCGCACTTGCCCGCGTGCGGATTGTACCGCGTCATCCCCAGAATCACGCAATCGATCGAACTGCACACGACACACGACACACGACACACGACACACGACACACGACACACGACACACGACACACGACACACGACACACGACACACGACACGACACGCACGGCAATGCGTTAATCAAGAAGCTCGAGGTCGCTGAGCACTTGTCTGCGCACTTACTTGTTTCGGTGGGGGAGGCCCCTGAGCTCGGAGGCAAAGTGGCCCCACGCCGATTGCCCGCCGTCGCGCCAGTTGTTGCCCAGCCGGTAGATCTCCTCCCGCGTGAGCCTGCGTGTTTCACTGGCACGTGAGCATGTCGTGTGTGTCGTGCGTGTGTCGTGTCGTGTGTCGTGTGGTGCGCACCGTGACCGAACGACGTGCACGACGGGCCAGTTGCGTTCGGGTCGGGTAGAGTCGAACTCGAGGCCGAACGTGGCCTGGCCCAGCGGGAAGGGCAGGAGGTCCATGGCGCGTCCGTCCTCGTCGAGGTTCTGCGCGCAGAAGGCCTGCAGCATCAGTGCGCCCAGGCCCAGCCGCGCCACGTTGGTCCGCACCGCCTCTTCATCGAGGCTTCCGCTACAACCCTCTTCACCGACGACATCGTCGCAGGCGATCAAGTAGATGAGCCGCACGAAGTGGCGCCAGCTTTCCTTGCCCTCTTTTTCTTCTTCATCTTCATCTGTACCGCTACTCGCTGATGCTGCCAGCATGGCCGGGGTCACGATTGATTGACATTGGCGCGCCAATCGATTGTCGATGAGCAGCGGCTCGTAGTGGGCACGAAGCTCCAAGGAGATGCTGCTTGCTTCGCCATTCGAGGGCACGTAGCGTAGTCGGATGGTGTTGTCGCCTCTGCTAAGCAGCACGAGGGCCTTGAATCGCCCGCCAGCCACCACCCATCGTCCGCTCTCCTCGTCATCTTCGCCGTCTCGAGGTTGCTCGACGACCTGGGCCTGGATGAACCCCTCGGTCTCGGAGGGGGCACCCACGATGCGGCCAACAAGTCGTTGCAGCGGGTAGCCCACCACCTCCCCGTCCATCATGTTGTCCACCTTGATCCCTGGCGACGAGCTGCCATCTTGCCCATCACGCCTTCGCTCTGGTGGGTCCATCTTTGTTGTGGCCACAAAAGAAAAAAAAACTTGACAGCATTGTTCTCTTGTTGTTGGTGGCTAGCTCCACGACACGTCATCAGTAGTGGGGAGGGGCAGCCTGGGTGGGATAGGCAGGACCTGGCGCTCCCGCATAGTAGGCTGTGGTGGCTGGCGCGGCAGCAGCAGGTGTACCAGGTGGCGGGTGATGATACACCCCAAAGAGGGCGGGAGACGAGTGGTGCTGCGGGTAGGCCGCCAGCGAGTGCGGGTGCGGCGGCGCCTGGTGGTGATAGGAGCCCGGCGGCACACCGCCGTAGCCCACGGCGGGCTGCAGCTGGTGCTGCTGGTGGAGCGGGTGGGCGTACGGGGCTGTCGGCTGATAGTAGGCGTGCTGCTGCTGGGGTGGTGGCGACGGGTGCTGCTGCTGCTGCTGCTGGTAGTAGACCGGCATGGGCTGCGAGTGAGGCGGTGGAGCCCCGACGTACGGGGCCGGACCCGAGTGATAGCCGCCGCCCACTGGAGGTGGAGGCGCGTAGTAGGAGGAACCGCCGCCGCCACCAGCGCCGCCGACGGTGGGCACGGCCGCCATGGGCGCAGAGTGGGACGACATGACCGGCGAAGGGTACATCGACTGAGGGGCCGGCGTGGAGAAGTCGGCGGCGACCGATGGAGATGGAGATGAAGCCGAAGAGGTGGAGGAGGAAGACGAAGAGGTGTGCTGCTGCTGCTGCTGCTGCTGCTGCTGCTGCTGCTGATGGTGGTGGTGGGCAGCAGGCGACGAGTGCGGAGACGAGAGGCGGTGGGGCAGGGGAGAGGCGGCAGGGGCAGAAGGACTGGACGAGGCCGCCGCAGCATCGGACGACGAGGAGGCCTTGCGAGGCATGTAGGGGTTGTGCGCCGGCCCGTCATTGGACGTCTTGCGAGGCATGTACGGATTGTCGGCCGGTCCCGTGGCTGGTTCGATCGAATATACGTAACACAAATGTAGAGAAAGATGGCATCAGCTACGCAACGCAAGGCCCGCAGGCTGGGAGAAGATGGAAGAGAGGGAGAAGGAGGAGGATGGGGGCATGGTACCGGAGGGTGTGGGGATGGGCGTCTGCTGGGTCTTGATGGCGTCCATCCACTGCTCGGCCGTTTGTCGGTCGGGCGCTGCGAAGAAGTAGGCCTTCTTGTTCTTGTCCTGTTGTTGGTCGTATGGAAACACGCCCGCATTCGCACGGCGTGAGAAGAGGCTTCTCGTGTAGCGCGCGTGGTGGAGGGAACCTTGGGGCTGAGGGCAAACGTGTTCTGGCGGAAGTCGTCCTTGCGCAGCACGTAGCAGGTCGTCACGTCCACCTTGGTGCGGGGCTTGTGTAGTCCACCCTGTGCACCACATGAGATCAATAAATAAATAAACAAATCTAACAATGCATAAATAAAAAACAGAAAACAGAAGCTGGCAATAAATAAACAAATAACATAACAATAACATAACAAGAGAATGAGGGCGTACAGGAGGTTTGGAGAAGAGGATAAGAAAGTTGCTTTGCAGCACTATGTACGACTTGGCCCACTTGGAGCCTCCCATGTGTTCCTCCACCCAGCCTTCCTTGGTGTTTGCCATGCTCCCTTGTCGTGGGGGGGCTGAGGAGTACCTGCTGTGGCGTGCTTGTGTCGCAACGCGAGTTTGCTTCTGTGGTAGAAAGAAATAAAATAAAATGCGCGTTTCGGAAAGTTTTTCAATTTGGCGAATTCGACGGTTCTGTGCGCTGCTGACAGCAGCACGGCGGGCTCATCCGGTTCTCCGGACCACGCGGGGAAGACGTGTGCGCCCGCCCGCCCACCCATGGTTGTTGTCGTCGTTAGGTTTGTCAATGTTGTTGGCCAAGGTTCTCTCGTGCAACGGCCGAGCGCACTTCGGTCGAAGAAGAAGAGCACTTCGGGTGGCCAGGCACTACTTGGCTGCTGCACGCGTGGTGGTAGAGACGATGAGCCAAAAAGAAAAAGGGAGAAAAAAGGAGAAAAAAGAGGCGCACCTTTGGCGGCCGTGGTCTTGGTGGATGAGGAGGAGTTGGTGCTCGGGCGGGCGCTGCCCTTCGGGGGCTTGGTGCCGGCGCGCCGGCGCATGCGAGCGAGACGCTTCTGTACCGCTGACTTGCGCTGCTCGGCCGCGGCGACCTCGTTGAGTTCCTCCTCGTCCTCCTCGCTCTCCGCCACCGTTCGCCGCTTCGACGGAAAGTCGGCCGGAATCGGTGCCCGCTTCCCGTCCGTCCCATTCGCCACTCTGAGGATTTGTTTGAAAAAATAAGAAATAGTTTAGACCACCTGCAAAGGGGTAATAAAATAGGAAATAATAAAATAGTAAAATAAAAGTATAGGCCTATCGTGTACCTGGGGATGACCTCGATGTCGTCCTTCCATTGGCCATCGTAGACGCCGCCGTCGCCATAGACCATCACGCCGTGGCCTTCTCGTTTTCCCTTCTTCCACTCGCCCTCGTACTCTCCGCCCTTGGCGTAGATCATCTTGCCCTTGCCCTCCTTCTCTCCACCCATGAACTCACCTTTTACCCCCCCCCAGAGTAACATTAGTTTGTTTCTCGACACACATGCACGCGCACACACAGCGCGCGGGTGTGAAAAGCAAGAGGCGCTCACCTTCGTATTTGTCGCCGTTGGCGTAGTGCACTTTGCCGAAGCCCTGTCGCTTGCCGTCGCGCCACTCGCCCTCGTACTTGACGCCGTTGATCCACGTTTCCGTGCCGTACCCGTGCCGCCTCCCGCCCTTCCACTCGCCCTCGTATCGATCCCCTGTGTGCGTCGTTGTGTGTGTCGTTGTGTGGTGCCATGTGCGTGAGTGCACACGTTGCGGGATGCTGTGCGCCTCTAGGCCTGTAGTACCGTTGTTGTAGATCATGATGCCCTTGCCCTCCTTCTTGCCGTTGACGTACTCGCCCTGGTAGATCGACCCGTTGGCCCACAGGTACGTGCCCGTGCCCTCCTTCTTCCCCTGCTTCCAATCTCCATCGTATCTGCAGGCGTCGCGCAATGAGTCGACGTGGCGCGACTTCCCAAAGAGAAGCGAAAACGAAGCACATGTGTGGTTGAAGGAGAGGGGGGGGGCGCACCTGTCCTTGTTGCTGAACGTGAGCACGCCCTTGCCGTCTCGTTCGCCGTTGATGAACGTTCCCTCGTACTTGGATCCGTTCATGTAGGTCACAATACCAAAGCCCTGTTGGTTGGTTGTTGGTTGTTAGAAACTGTAATTGCGTGACAAAAGCGACAACACACGCGGACGGGCGAGGACGAGGGGAGGTGTACGTACGTGCTTCTTGCCATCTCGCCAGTCGCCCTCGTACTTGTCCCCATCGGCGTAGATCATGCGACCTCGGCCATGTCTGTGGTCGTCCTTCCACTCTCCTGCAAGTAATAATAATAATAATAAATGGGTCGTTGTGAGTCATTCGAGGAACGTGCAGCAGCAGCACACGAGGTCGAGTAGAGGAGGGGAAGGGACTACCTTCGTAGCAGTTTCCGTTCGACCAGCTGTAGGTGCCGCGTCCGTTCTTGACCTCCTCCTCGTCGAACACTCTCTGAGCCCACGCATTCTTGGAATTGCACAAAAAAAGGGGTGTAGTTCGTTCATACCAGAGGCGATTAATCAAATGATCAGAGCAGAGCGGGTGGAAGAGGGGGAAAAAAAGAGAGGGTAGCGTGGTACTTTGCAGAGGTAGAGCCAGTACTGGAACTTCCAGTAGCAGTAGTGGGTGGCGTAGTCTGAGTCCTGCTTCTTCTTGAGGCTCCACCGCTTCTTGCACAGCATGCGCCACAGCGTCTCGTCCTCGGACAGCTTCTGCCACATTTGACTCACTGCACACACGAGACACACACGAGACACACACGAGACACAAGAAAGAAAGAGCGAAAAAGAAAGAAGACAGGAAGACGAGAAGCGAGAAAGAGTTAGTGATGAAGAGGGCCAGTTGAGGTTGAGGGGGTGACCAAAGCGATCGCAAGTTGCGGCGCACCTTGGCAGGCCAAGCAGAGGGACTTTTCGTCGAGGAAGGAGAAGATCTTGATGACGAGGATGGCCGGCAGCTTGGACCTGTCGCCGAACAGCACCTCCTCCTCGGGATTGATTTGGTTCCTGCGCGCAACCGCGGGACCACACCGATCGAGTTAGGGCCGAAGGAAATAGACAAGAAGAAGAAGAAGAACGAAGAAGAACGAAGAAGAACGAAGAAGAACGAAGAAGAAGCAGATGAAGATGATGACGATGAAGCGGTGTCTATGGGGAGAGCGTACCCGAGGTCGAGTATGATGCCCATGCTCTGCAGGTTGATGCCCTGAAGGCCGTTGAAGGGCACCAGCGCGTTGGAGGGGGCGAGGGCCAGCGCAGCGCGCGAGGAGCTCATCGACATCGACGCGTTGGAGGCGAGCGACCCGCCGATCGCGTTCTTGAGGCCGGACTTCAGGGTGCTCAGCGATGCGTCGATCTCATTGTCCAATATGTGCGGCACCTCCTGTGCACACGCGCATGCCACGAGAGTCCAGGAGCGTTTTAATACCCTGCCCCCTAACGTTTTCCACACAGTTGTGTGTAACTGGAAGCGAACCTCGGGGCCGATTTCGTATTTGGAGATGAGCGAGCCGTCCACCCACTCCTCTCGGTAGACCTTTTCCTTGCCCTGGGCACACACCGCACGCAACGCAACGCAACGCAACGCACACACACACACACGCGTGGACGAGTGTCAGTGTACCCAGCGAAGTTCTTGCACAAACTTTTGGAGCAGAGCATGGGGGAGCGGAGAGTGGGGGTGTTGCGAGCACCTCTTCGTTGGTGGGTACGTAGGAGACGCTGACGCCATGGCGCTTGCCGTCCTTGAATTCGCCCTCGTAGCGCTCTCCGTTGGCGCGATGAAACACGCCGCGTCCCGTTCGCTTGTCGTTCTTGAACTCGCCTGTTCACCACCGGCGTAATTACGTCGCACGTATTATTATTATTAAGTGGTGTGCAGCTGCACTTGTGCATTGAGTAATTGTATGTATATTTTTGGCATGATGAAGAGATTGGAGATCACAATAAATAAATAAATTTTGGCGTGCGAATGGAAGATGAGCGGCAAAGAGGAGAAGCGGGTGGTGTGGTGTGGTACCTTCGTAGCGAGAGCCGCTCTGCCACGTGAATATGCCGTTGCCTGTGCGCTTGTCGGCCTTGAAATCGCCCTCGTAGCGATTGCCGTTGGCGAGGGTGAGCAGACCGTAGCCGGTGCGCTTGCCGTGCTTGTAGTCGCCCACGTACTTGTCGCCGTTGGCGAAGTAGTAGATGCCACGGCCATGCTTGACGCCCGCATGGAAGAGGCCCTCGTAGCGATCCCCGTTCGCGTAGTGGTACACGCCCTGGCCCTCGAGCTGGTCTTCCTCGAAGGCGCCCTCGTAGCGCTCGCCATCGGGCCACGTGAGCACGCCTCGGCCCGTGCGTCTGTCATCCTTGAAATCGCCCTCGTAGCGCCCTCCGCTCTTCCATGTAAACAGACCCCGCCCATGTCGTCTATCGTTTCGGTATTCGCCCTCGTAGCGTTCACCGAGCGCCCATGTGAAAATGCCTCGCTTGCCATGCTTGCGTCCAATCTTGAATTCGCCCTCGTAACGATTGCCATTGGGGAACACGAGGGTGCCGGTCCCGTGAAATTGGCCCTCCTTGAACGATCCCTCGTAGCGCTTTCCATTCGCAAACACCAGCGTACCGCGTCCGTTGGGCACGCCATTCTTCTTCTCGCCCTTGTACGATCGCACCTCGGAACCCTTCGACGCGGCCTTCACGACGGAAGAGGAAGATGACACGACGCCCGAGGCCGAGGACTGTGGTGGCGTTGATGTCGCTACCACTCCCGACGATCCGTTCATCGTGCTTCCCCCCGCTGCTGTCGTTTTCTTCATGCGCGAGCCACGAATGAACCTCCTCTTCCTCCTGAATGTACGATTCGCGCTTTCCTTTCTCTCCTCCCTCCACCCACCTTAGCCGCTTGAGCGATGGCCAAGACTTGGTGGCGCGTCGTGCGGGGGGAAGTGGAAGCTGGATTGTGTTGTTGGGCACCGCCCAGGTCCTTCTTGTATGGAAATGATATTTTTGGCGCAAATTATAAATGATATATATTGCCTGGGAAGAAAAAGAAAACCCACAGGAAACTGCAAGACTGGTCGCCTTTATCTGTCCACCCGCGTAGCGCGTGGCCTCAGTCCCAGAGGATGGGGCCCTTGGGGCACTCGATGAAGTCCTCCAGGTCGGCGTAGGAGTCGTTGCCGCCGCCGGCCCGCCGCAGTTCGGCGTCGATGTAGGAATTGGTGCTACGCATCACCGCCAGTCGCGGTGCCCTCTTCTTCCTCCTCCTCTTCTTCTTTCTCTCCTCTCCATCACCCTCAGCCTCATCTTCATCCTCATCCGCCTCCTTCTCCTCCAATTCAGCGAGCCCCACTGCCAGCTCCTTCCCTGCGCATAAAGGAATCCATCATCATCATCGTCATCACCAGGCACTTATGAGCTCGCCACAGGGGCGAATGGCATGGAATGATGAAGAATGTAGAGGAATGTAGAGCGCGCACCTGTAGGCGACTCGCGCCAGGCAGGAAGGCGGGCCAGCCGGCGCAGGGCGCCGCAGTAGAGGTCGACGGCCGACGCGAACGAGCCCAGCGCGCCCGAGACACCGGCCCCGGTCCCAGCGACGAAGCCCTCGTGATGATCGCCGACCACCCAGCGCCGGGTCTGGCGCATGAGCGCGGCGCATTCGGCCAGCATGCGCTCCACCTCCTCCCGCGCCGCCGGGGTCCACTCCAGCTGAGGCCGCTGCGCCTCTGGGTCGCCGCCATCGTCGGCCTTGGGCCGGGCGATGCCGTAGTCATAGTACCCGACGCGTCGCTTCAAGAACGAAGCCGACGATGCTGAAGATGAAGAAGATGACGACGACGATGATGGCTTGTGGTCGGGGTGGAAGAAGGGGCTTCTGGTGTGCTTCTTGACTGCATTCTTGGCATTCTCCGCCCGCGCCAGCTCCACCCGGTACAGCTGCCCCGCCAGCTCGGCGCACACCTTGCACACCTGCGCGCGCCATCGACAGAAAATAAGCAGCCTCCTATCTTGGTGCGTGTGCGGTGATGCGTGTGCGGTGGTGCGTGTGCGTGTGCGTTGACGTACCTTGGAGGTGAGGGCCAGGAACCGCTGTAGGACCTCGCTCGGCAGCCACTCGATGCACCGGACGAACTCGCCCTGACTCGCCGTCACCAGCCGCAGCGCGCCCAGCACCCCTGTTGCGCACCATCATCACCATCAACATCGACAAATATGTACAGGTATGCGAAGCACGCGAAGCACGCGGGGGGGGGCACGCACCGCTGGGCGGGAGCAGGTGGCGGCGCGCGCGGAGGAGGGCCAGGGCCTGGGTCGCCTGGTGGCGGTGGTGGGCCAGGAGCTCCAGCAGGCCCGCCTCCCCGAACCCGCGCTCCCGCTGCTGCTGCTCGAGCGGCTGCGGCTGCTGCACACCCGCGCTCCATTCCTCTGGCCCGGCTCTCGGCCTCTCCTTTCTCGCCTCTGCTCGCACCCCCCCCCAATCAGCTGCGTGTCGTGTGTTGTGTGTCGCGTCGTTGTGTGTGTCGTGTGTCGTGTACCGAGGGCATCGGAGCAGGCGGCGAAGAGGTCGTGGGCGAAGCGCCGGCGGTCGTCGAGGGGCAGGAGGAAGCCGTATGCCAGCACGTGGCGCACCATGGTCCGCCCCACCGCCCACGCCGCATCGCCGCCGCAGCCGCCACCAGCGCCACCGGTCCACCGCCGCCCGGCCACAACCATGGCCCACACGGCACGCACCGCGCGGGCCAGCCACGGCACGCACCGGCGCCGGCGCCGGTCCCACTCGTGCCGCTCGGCGCACTCGAGCACGGGGCGCCAGTCGCCGGCGAGGGGCTCGAGGGCCAGGGCCGACAGAGCGGCGACGGCGCGCACGTACTCGGGCACCACCTTCTCGGCGCCGGCCTCGGCCTCGCGTCGCGCCTGGCCCGCGAAGAAATAGGCCAGCGCTGCGCACGCCTCCGTCGGCGTCACCGCCGCACACGTCTCGGCGCTGCCGTCGGCGTCGTCGGCCGTGCGGGGCCGCTTGCGCTGCTGCTGCTGGCGGTCGACACCGGCGTCGTCGGGTGCGGCGTCGTGGGTGGTGCGGATGATGCGGGGCAGGAGGAGCTGTACGGCGGCGTGGATGGCGCGGTGGACGGAGGCGGCGAAGACGGCCTCGTCGTGGCCGTGGTCGTGGCCCGCCTCGGCCGTGGAGGCGGCGGAGGCGGGGTGGCGCGCGGGCTTGTGCGGGAGCATGGCACCCATCAGCCGCACGAGTGCCTTCCGCAAGCGAAGCACGTCGTCCCTCCCCTGCGCGAGCCGATGTGTGAGTGTCGCGTGTCGTGTGTGTGTCGTGTGTCGTGTGTCGCCTGTGTGTCGTGTGTGTCGTGTCACCTTTCGCTCGAGGCTGCGTGCTAGCCCCGATGACGAAGACGAGGTGGAAGGCGTGGGTCGCGCGTTGCGGTCGGTGAGGGTCGAGTGGTAAAAGCCAAAGAGGCGCGAGAACAGCGCGCCCGCATCCCACGACTCCCTCCTGCCCAACGCGCATTTGCAAACCATTCGAGACTGCTCAGCACGCCGCACACACTGCACACGCCGCACACGCCGCACTCGGCAGGTGGTGAGGGTGGAGAGCGTACGGGTCGAGGCTGGCGGAGGATTTCCGGAGGGCGACGTGGCGACCGATGAGGGCGAGGAGGTCCTTGACGGCCTCCGTCGAGAGCACGCACGCCGACGCGCGGTGCAGGTCGAGCAGCCTCAGCAGCCCCTCCATCGACAGCAGCGGCTTCCCCGTCCGCGGCCCTGTTCCGCACCCGAGCCGAGAAGGGGGAAGCGGTGAGTTTCCGACCCAGGAGGGGCGGGCGGGGGCGGGAGAGGGCGGGGGTACGGTGGCCGTCGGTGTGGAGGATGGTGGCGTAGTGGGTGCGGCGGTTCTTCTTGACGGCGGTGCGGGTGAGGCTGAGGAGCGTGGAGCGGACCTCGAGCAGCTCCACCGCCTTGCGGTCGGCACCGCCCGGCCCGAGGGCGAACAGCTGCGGACATCGCAACACGCAGTCCTGTCGTCCATATGTCAGCACACGCACACGCACACGCACCACCGCACAGGCACACGCACACACACACGCAACGTACGATGATGGCTTCGTAGAGGGGCGCGAGGACGACCATGCGCTGGCGGAGCGAAATGAGGGAGGGCGGGCAGAGGGCCAACTCGCCGGCGCCGTTCAGGCTCCGCAGTTGCAC